GGTGGTGGTCGACCATGGGCCAGACATCAAGACGCACTATCCGTCTACTATCACCTTCTATCCAGATGTGGCTTCGTTATACGCCTTGTCGTTTGCGAAGATCCCCAAGATCCAGGTCGAGGTTCCCATTGGGCCTGTATGTGAGCCTCCGTCTACTGAAGTTGTGCTGGATTGCGCCCGACACGGTTTGGATTTAGTACAGAAGCGTGCCAAACGTTCAGGCATGCAACGTCATGTGGATACCTTGTATCATCTCTGGGCAGATGCGGCTGAAGTGGAGTTGGCCTCTTCGCGCTTCGTCCAGTTGCAGTCACTTGGCCTGCGAGGTAGACCGCCGAAGCTCATCTGGGTCAACATTTTCGACTCGGATCGGCGCCGTCGCGAGGTCAGGCAGCCTGGGCTCGTCGGCTTCCGCTGGCTGTGCAAGGCGGTCGCTGGGCTTCGCTCTGTGCTAGCTGCTGGGGCAGGCTATCAGGCCTGCAAGCCGTATATTCAGGCTATCTTGGATCCTCCAGAGAATGTTAAGGATAAGTTACAGGACTGCCAGAGTGAGATTCAGAAGTTTCAGGTTCTCTTGGGCTCCTGTGGTTACCAGGATATCCAGGAGAAGCGTCTGGAGTACCTGGAGGAGCTGGGGGCTGCTCTTTCCGCGTCTCTCGAGAAGCATGCTGGTCAGGCTAAAGTCGCTGCACAGCGTTCTTGGCGAGCCTGGCTGCTGGACGGCATCGGTGCTGGCGGCAGGCGTGCGCATTCCTGGACTAAGGAGCAGGTCCCCTGGGAGCCTACGACCACCCTGTCATCTCACGGCAAGGTCTTAGCCGACCCGTGCAGCTTACTCGCTTCGGAGGCCTTGAACTTCGCCAATCTTTGGGAAAGTTTCCAGGAGCAGCCCGAGGATACGCCGATCGAGTACCAGGGTCCCTTGGATTTATTGTCTCCTGAGGCGCTCAGAGATATTTCTAGGAGGTATTGCAAGTTTTCGGCTGTTGGTTTCGGCGGTTTTCACCGCAAGCATATTTGTCCCCTTTCGGAGCCTCTTCCTCTTGTGCTCTCCAGCCTCTATAATATCATGGAGTCTACGTCTTTGCTGCCGAGACAAATTAGAGCCACCGTTCTGTTTCTGCTGGAGAAGCCCTTGGGTGGATATCGCCCCATAGGGTTATTCAGTGCAGCGTATAGGATCTGGGGAAGGGCCCGCAGGAATGCTTGCAGCTCCTGGGAGGCCAAGAACGCCAGATCATATCTTGCTGCCTCTGCCTTCTTCGGGTCCAGTGACGTCGTCTGGCGTCAGGCAGTGAGGTCAGAGCTAGGAGTCAGGAAGGGAGACGTAGCTGTTAGTGTGCTCTGGGACCTCTACAAGCTCTACGATGCTCTGGATCCCCTCAGATGCTCTCCTGGCTATGGCGGCCATGCTGGGTTGCCCTCGTTGTCTGATCAGGTTGGCTGTCAGTGCCCATCGTGGGCCAAGGTTTGGTTCGCTTTCCAATCTGGTGGATGGTCCGCACTATGCTACTTTGGGTGTTATAGCCGGCTGCTCTATAGCTACAACATGTGTCATAATCTTTCTGATCCCTGCCCTGGATATGTTGGTTCTTCCTAAGCAGCTGTACCTATCTGTTTACATTGGCGACTATGGTTTATCGGCTGTAGGTTCAGGTAGGTATGTAACAGGGCACATCAAGGATGATGCGGTAATGCTTGCGGGCATTTTAAGGACCGAGTTGCGCAGCAGGATCTCGGAGGACAAGGCCGCCCTCATCTCCTCGCCCCCGAAGCTCGGTTAGGAGCTGCGCAAGTTCTTTGGAGGCTTGAGTGGTAGCTCAGTCCCAACGTTTGTCAATCTTGGCGTAGACGACGCCGTCGGTCGTCCGCGCAGGCTTCCCAAACAGGGCCCTAAACATCAGCAAAGGAATAAGGTTCTGAAGACTCGGGTCAAACGGATCGCCAGGGCCAGGGCTGTTTTGGGAAGGCATGCCAAGATGATTGTTTGTTATGGCGGCTTGGCTGCCGCTACCTACGGCAGCGAAGTTCACGGAGTATCCGATTATGAACTGGGAAACCTCAGGAGAGCCTTTGGGAGGGTTGTTAAGCCAAGTTCGGGGTCTCGCTCGCTTGCCACCCTCACCACCCTCGAATCAGATCCTTGTTGGTTCCCATATGTCTCTCCTGTGGTCAGAGATGCTAAAGAAATTTGGACTAATCAGCTGCGTGAGTTCGAGTTTGCGGTCCCTTTTCAGCCAGCTGAGAGAGGCGCGGACCTCCGCGTTTGCTGCAGGCAACGCTACGTGGCGCAGTTGCTCAGGTCCTTTGTCAGCTGCTCGTCTTTCCTTTGAGAGGATTGGTTGGTCCATGGCCGACTTCACGACCCTGGTCACGGACACTGGGGTGGCAATCAGTCTCACCACCACCTCCCCAAAACTCATCAAGAGGCATCTGCACCAAGGGGTCTTGCGGTCCTTGGAGAAGTATTATGGACAAAAGCTGGGGTTCGAAGGCAGGTCATGTTTCGACGTCGTCAAGCAGCAGCTCAGGTCCAGGAGGCTTACGCCTTTGCAGAAAGGCTCTCTCAAGTGTTTTGCCTGTGACGGGCTGTGGACGAAGACGCGCGCGCAGGCTTCAGGCTACGCCTTAGAAGGTGACGATCTCCTCTGTGAGCTGCGCAAAAGCGCTCCTGATACGAACCAGCATCGGTTGTATCAATGCCCAGTCGTCGAAGATCGTAGATTGGAGATCGCTGACCCTCAGTTCGTGCAGAATGCTCTGGAGGCCCAGCCTGATCAGGTGGATTTCCAGCTCTTTACCAAGGCGTGTTTCCCGCATCCAGGTGACAAGCTGCCGCCGCCCGCCAAGGAGTCCCCCATTCCAGTGTCTTGGGCGGATTCGACCTCGACCAGTACTGAGATCTCAGGGCATGTGTTTTTTTTACGGGTCCCAGACCAAGAGCGATGTTTCTGCATTAAACAGGGCTGGTTGGGGTTTGGCTGTTTTCAACGATGACCTCGTGCATGTTTGTTCCATGTGGGGCCCGATCTGGGCCCACCACCCGCACGCGTCCCAGGCTGGAGAGTTTGGCGCGTACGGTGCCTCAAATGAGTTTCTTGTTGGCCCATCCGTGGGCTACAGTGATTGCAGCAATGTGGTCAAGCAGTTTGCTCAGCCCGGTGTCAGGCAGACTCATTATAAGAGACCATATGCTGGCATGTTTCTGAAGAGGAATTCTCTTTTTTTCTCGTGTTGTGAAGGTTCGTGCGCATGTCAAGGACAGCGACGAGCTAACGGATTATGAACTCTTCTGCAAGAGAGGGAATGATGCAGCTGACCAGGCTGCTAGGCAGGGCGCTGTTTCCCACCCACAGCCCTCGCCATCGGAGCTGCAAGAGGTCTCGCGCCTCGCGGCTGCAGCTAGGAAGGTGTGTAAGCTCGCCTACTCCCTCTTCCCCCTCTGGCCAAAACTGGATCTGACCAATGTGCCCTGGCACAGGCAGTCAGAGCCTGCAGCCAAGGTGGAGCCTAATTCCGTCGCCCACCAGTGGCACTGGTGCCGCACTTTGTGGCGTTGCCAAGCGTGCCTTCAGTTCAAGCGTCAGCAATCCAGACCCCCCGCAGGCAGGTGCTCGGGTGTTTTGCCGTCTGTGGCTCTCGGTTTCCAGGACCGTGGTCATCGGGTGATTTGTCTGGAATGCTCCAACGAAACCATGCTATTCCTGTGCATGAGATGTTTCGGGTACACTTGCGGTGGTCAGTTTAAGAAGCTTCGGGCCGATTGTAGGCCAGAGGTCAAAGGCAAGCTCAGTAACTATTCTTCTGCAGTGTTGCGGTCGCTCAGCCGTGGGCTGCACCCCAAGCTTGCGGGGGTGACGTGCCAAGTGTTTAACCTGGATGATATTGAGCAGGAGGCGGAGGACCAAAGTGTTGGTGTGGTTGAGGCGTCGTTTGAGTCGGGTGGTGGGGGCCGTCTCGTGCAAGTCTCTCGGCCAGATCCGTCTCCTGCTCAGAGTTCCTCCCCCCAGACCCCGAGGCCACCCGTACCCTTGGTTCCGTCTGGTCTGGAGGGGAGGAGGAATTCGGATTCTTTTGCGGTGGGAGAGGAGGCTGCTCGCTTCCTGTTCGCCCACACCAGGCCGTCTCTTGCCAATGCGTTGGAGAGTAGCCCCACCGAGCAGCAGAGGTCAGGCAGGCTGCGCCTCCTCCAAGAGGAGGATGATGCCCCCCCTCTGATGAAGGATGCTCGCGTTAGGTCTGCGGAGTCTGGTGGCTCTGACTGACTCCGGTCCTTGGGGTGCCCGTCGTTCGCGTCAGCCACCGCCTTTTTGTGCCAGATTTATCTGGCTTCTCCCAGGTGTCACCTCCTGGGCATGGTGCGGAGTTTGAAAAATCCTCCTCCTCCTCCTCCTCCTCCTCCTCCTATGAAGAACCTCCCTGTAATCCTCCTCCTCCTCCTCCATCCTCCTAATACATCCTCCTCATCCTTACTAATCCTCCCTACTCCTCCAACCGCCCTCCCCTCCTCCTCCTCCTCTCTCATCGCCTCTCTCTCCCTTCCTCACCTCCCCCTTCTCCCTCCTCCTCCTCCTGTCTCCTCCTCTTCCTTCTCCTCCTCCTCCGCCTCCTTCCTCCCTCCTCCTCCTCCTCTCTCTCCTCCTCTCTCCTCCCCACCCCCTTTCCTCCTCCTCCTCCCCCTTCCTCCTACCCTCCCGTCCTTTCTCCCCTCCAACTTCCCTTCCCCCCTCGTCCTCCTCCTTCCCCCCTCTCCCTCCCCTCCTCCTCCTCCTCTTCCTCCTCCCCTCCCTCCCTCCTCCTCCCTCCTCCTCCTACCTCCCTCCTCCTCCTCTCCTCTCTCTCCTCCCCTCCTCCTCCTCCTCCTCCTCCTCCTCCTCCTCCTCCTCCTCCTCCTCCTCCTCCTCCTCCTCCTCCCTCTATCCCCCCCTCCTCCCCGCTCCTTCAGGTCGTGGCCGCACCCGTCCTCAAAGGTCTGCGCCGTCGTTTTGTCCCGGACGCAGGGCCTGGACGCGAACGTCGGGCGCTATCAGAACAGCCCCGTCATGGGCGACGAGGTCCCCGAGCGCTTCCGGCCCGTGCTCTTCGCGGGGACGACGCGGGTCCCGTTCCCGGAGCCCACGCGGGAGCTGCCAAAAGTCCTCCCCGAGGCGACCGAGCGGTAGAGGGAGATGCCGCGCCCGGCGCTCTGGCCGTGCCGCCCCGCTGTCTCGAGCGTTGCGGGAGCACCCAGCCCGTCCCTCGCCGCTAGCGGGCATACAGCGCCGAGCGTGCCCGGCGAAGGCGGGGGCGCCCAGCCTGTCTCGGGGGTGGGCAGAACCCCCACCCTGACACGTCGATTCGTGGATTGTCCGTCTTCGGTTCTCGAGAGGGCGTCGCGGCCGTCATTTCCCAGGCTGGCGCACGGCAGGTTCGGGCCTGATGTCGTTTTCACCAAACCACGTTTTGCTCAAGGGGGTTTTGTCCATGCCCGACTGTCCCTCGCCGCTCCGAGTACAGCGCGACCGTGTCGAGTCCGAAGCGGCCGTGTCGGAGGCGCCTCCCTCTCCTGCGCCTTAAAAAAGAATTCTCCCCTCTGCCGCACCCCCAAGCGTATCGGCGGGGCAGGCCTGGCGTGTCGCCGGGCGTCTTCCGGGGGGCACTTCCCGCAAGGAGGCCAGCTTCTCCTGTACGGCCCTAGGAGGAGGGGCTTTGGAGGGAGGATCCTTGCAGCATCCCGGGTGCGCCTTGGGTTTGCGCTGGCCCCTCCTCCCCCTCCTGCCTGTCGTGGGCGCTGGCAGCCTCCGAGGGGGTCTCCGAGAGGCCGCCGGCAGGGTCGCGAGAGCGAGGGCCGCACGCCTCCCGTGCGGGCCCACTTGGGGCGCGGAGGGGCCCCTGGGCCGCTCTTCGTGTCTCGGGCAGGGCACATCGCCTCGCCGGCTGCCCCCCCCCGGTCGGTTGCCCCGCACCGCCGGGCGCCTTTCGCGCCTCTCCTGCCCTGGCCTCTCTGCCGCTTCGCTCCTCTGCCTCTCTGCCCCGCTGCCTCGCTGCCTCGCTGCCTCTCGGCCTCTGGGCCTCTGGGCCTCTTGGGCTCCTGCCTCCTGCGTCTTGCCACTTGCCGCCTGACGCTCGCCTGGCCGGCCTGGGGCACGCGTGGAGCCCGAGCTGGGGTCCGCCTGGGCATCCCCCATCCATGGCACACCTGCGGGACCCTGGGAGCCATCCTGGGGCCTCTTGGACCCATGCTGGAGGCCATCTTCTTGGGGCTACAGCAGGCAGCTGAATTATCCAAGAACCTCGCCTGCCAACGGGTGCCACGATCATTTCTGATCTCCCGATGGGGCCATAGAGCCCCTCGGTACCGTGCGAACGTTAGAGTCGATGAAGGACGTGCCCCTCGACTTCTTATGGCACAATTTCTTGCCGTCTCTGCCTGCGGCAACTTGGGTCGTCTTGCGCGCTCCTGGAGGCCATCTTGGACTGCGCGGGATGACACGTAGCACCCCGCAGTTGCGGATTAGAGTGAGGGGGCTGCGGGGACGTCGGCAGTCTGCGAGTCGCGCAGAGTTTTTCAAGCTATGCATCGATCCCGCCGCAGGCGCCGATTTTTTGTTGTTGAATCAATGTGGCTGGGTCGCAGCTTGGGTCGCGGGTGGGTCGCGGGTGGGTCGCGGGCCGGGCGCAGGGTGGGTCGCGGGTTGGTCGCGGGCGGGGCACGGGGTGGGTCGCGGGGTGGGTCGCGGGTGGATCGCGTGCCGGGTCTCGGGAGAACGACGCCAAACAACAACAACAACAACAACAACAACAACAACAACAACAACAACAACAACAACAACAACAACAACAACAATTACTAGCACGTGGGGACACACCGTTCTCACCAGTGCCAGGGTTTTCATAGGAGGCGGGCAATACCCCCACTTTGTGGGGGGGCCGGTTCAAGCTCTACCAAATTTCCAAACGACTCTTCGCCACCACCCACACCCAGCTTCCCGCCCTATGACGTTCGGACACTTCACTTCGTGGCATGCGGACGACCGTGGCTACTATTCAGGGCCCCGCGGCCGACGACGACGGCGTGCGCGCGCGAAGAAAAAACGAATGTGTCCCGCATGGTATTATTTGACAGGGATGATGGCCCTGGCAGGTGCGCAACCGTTGTTGCAGAAGTTCGAAAAAGTTGCTCGCAAAAGCCCGTTTGACAGAAATGTTTAAAAAGTGTTGGGTTTCCTACGAATCCGCAAGAGCGCGCGGGATGAAATTTTGACATTTTGTTTGAAAAACCATTGGTTTTTTGATGTTTTTATGTTAAAATCGCTACGAAAACTAAGGTTTTGGAAGGATTTCGTCTTGCGCGCGCGAATGTCCACTTTACCTTTTTTTTGCAAGGGATTCTTGAAGTTTGGTTATGTTAGAACAAGAAATGTCCACTTTAGCTTTTTTTTTTTTGCAAGGGAAAACCGATCGTAACAACACAACCGGATCCGGACTCCCCCGTTTTGCCTGAGACTTCCTCACGAAAATGATGAAAATGAGGCTGCGGCCTAGGCGCGGCGGGGGGGTCGTGCACCAGGGGTCCCAACAATAATTATTCTTTAGAAGTAATAATGTTCAACAACAACAACAACAACAACAACAACAACAACAACAACAGCAACAGCAACAGCAACAGCAACAGCAACAGCAACAGCAACATCAACAACAACAACAACAGCAACAACAACAACAGCAGCAACAACACCACCAACAACAGCAATAACAACAATAACAATAACGCCAACAACAGCAACAACAACAGCAGCAACAACAATACCAGCAGCAGCATCAACGACAACAATAATCCGCATCGCGGAATCCCACTTCAGCCACGCACCCAGGGACAGTCAATGACCGTCCGGCCACCTCTGATCGAGGCCACCCGAGAGGCCGTGGTGGGGACGTGCCTGGCGTCGCGCCCCCCTCGTGGAGCCGCCCAGGCGGGGTGGGGTGGAGGGGGTGCTCTGGAAGAGCTGCTCCGCGAAGCTGCCCGCGCCCGAAGGCCGGGTGGGATTCGTGAGGCTGCGTGCCCTCAGAAGGCTCTTGGCAGATGTCGGCTATTACTGCAGAATGCTAGCCGCGGCCTTAGTTGTGGTGCGCTCGGACGAGCGCTCCGATGCATCGGGAAGAAGAGGAGGAGGAGGAGGAGGAGGAGGAGGAGGAGGAGGAGGAGGAGGAGGACCCCCTCCCCCCCCCAACTTGTGGTGGTGGTGGAAAACAGGCCCATCAACTGCTTCGGCAGCCGGCGAAGGGCACGCACGCCCGTCGTGCTGCTGCGCCGGGCGCAGGGGCCCGGCAGGCAGGCACACGTCTCGGCGCCGAGCTCACCCGGAAGCGATGCCAGAGCGAGCTGCCCTCATCACCGTGTCCGCGCGCAGCGGAGCGAAGGTGGGGGGGGGGGGACGCCTCCAGGCAGAAGCTCTGGAGTAGCTTGTGCAGACCCTGGCTCGAATATGATGCGGCCGTCCTGTGCTGGACTGACGGGGCGGAGGAGGCGGAGAATCATGCCGAGGATGCTCGAGGAAAATGAGGAGGGGGACGAACGTGAGGATGAGGAGGAAGAGGAAATACAGTGGAAGATCCGCCGTTTCAGTCAAGCGAGCATGTGAGTTTTCGATCAATGTTATCGAGCTGCCTCCAGCAATTCCGCCACCGTGCCAGCGCAGTGTTCTGGGTGGCAGCCACTCGAGAAGGCGAGAGGGCCTGCTGGGGGCCTCTTGGTGCAGAAGCCTCGAATTCTGGGTTCGTGCTCCCACTCTTAGCCCCTTCTTGGGGCCGTCCTGGGGCCCTCTTGAGCAGTCTTGGGCGCCTCTTGGGCCGTCTTGGAGCTCTCTTGGGAGCCTCTTCGGCCGTCTTCGGGGAGTCTTGAGGGCCTCTTGAGCCGTCTTGGAGCGTCGGAAGCTCGAAAAGGCGAGAACCCAACACGCATTACATCAGCTGAGGACAAGCCGTGTGTCTATCCCGCGGGGGCCATCTGGGGGGCCTCATTGGGCCCCCTTGGGGCCTCGACGGCCTCGTGGGCCGTCTGGGAGCGCCCTGCGGCTGTTTCCACGCGCCGGGCCTCCTGCACCGCCTCTCGCCCGCTGGTCCTCCGCCCTCCGTCGGCTCTGTTTTGCATTGCTCTCCCCTCCCGCCCCCCGCCCCTCCGGCAGCCTGGCTTCCCCAGACTCTGCCCGCCGCGAGGCAGGGCCTCAGGCCCCCGCCCTCCCTCCCCCTCCCGCCCCCGCCCCCTCCGGCAGCCTGGACTCCCCCAAAAACTCTGCCCGCCGCGAGGCAGGGCCGGGCCCCCGCCGCCGAGGTTTCCCTGCCACGAGCGGGCCCCGGAGGCCTCGACCCCGCCCCTATCGGGGCAGGTGCTTTTCATCCCTGGCGAGAATGGCTGGCAGACGTGTTCCGGCGTGCTTGTGTGCTCCCCACGGCGCGGGGCGGGTGCGGACCACGGGAAGGCCATGAAGCACAGGCCGTTATAGTCAGGAGGGCAAGAAACACACAGACACACAATGAATCGTCGATCCCCAAGACAAAATATGGGAACATATGGGAAGAGGGGGGGGGAAGACGCAAACCGAGGAAAGAATGGGGAAATATCGGGAATCTGGAAATTTGTGATTCTTTTTTTGTGTGTGCCCCAGTTCCCCTTCCGTTAGGCTCGTCCAGGGGCGCGCCCTCGGCGAGAAGCTCGACGCGGTTCCAGCCGCGGCGGCGAGGGCGCCTCAGGACGTCCCAACATGCCCAGAGAGGCCCACGGAACCCTCGGCCTTCGCTCCCTCTCCGAAGACCAGGAGGAGGGGGCCGGGAGCCTCGTCCTCCTGTTCGTTGGCTCGTTGGCGGGCGCCTCGAGGCACGAGAGAGGCGGAGCCGTGGACGGGAGATCGCCGTAGGCTTCCCTGCATCTTCTGGTTCGAGCTGGGCCTGGAGCGCCCCAGGTTTGAGTCGGGCATGTCCTTTCACAGGATGAATTTTCAAGCATATGCTAAAGATAGTCTGGGGACGATGTTTCGACTGTGCTTGAGTGTTTGAATCATTTTGGGGTATTTTTGATTTTTCGTCCAGAAGTCGCCTGTCGGGTGGCATGCCCGACATATTCTTAGGTGTGCGTGAGAGCCCCCATCTGTCGCTAATGCGGAGCACGTTGCATGTGCTTCCTGGACTGGTCGACGGCTCACTACACGTGAAAGTTGGAGACACGACACCGATAGTCTATGACCCATGACATCTCCCCACATCCCACGGCGCCCTCTCCATGTTTCAGCACTGATGGCTTGTTTTCCACCACCTCCACCATCAGTTGGAGGGGGAGGGTGTCCTCCTCCTCCTCCTCATCATCATCCACCTCCTCCTTCTCCTCCTCCTTCTCCTCTTCGTCCTACTCGTCCTTCCCCCCTAATCCGCCTGTAGGGGGGCATGCCCGACCTAAAACTACCCGACAGTCGAGGGGAACCTGGGTGCCTTGAGCACTGTGAGCGCTCTGGGCAAAACAACGACTAAGGAAACATGCAAGATTCGATTGATTGCTACATGAGCGGCGCACATGAAAGAGCGGTGCCGTCTGCACCTACATTGGCGCGTATGCTACCCGTGCAAGGTCGCGCGTAAGCGCCCTCGTCTCCAATGCAGCGTTCCGCGCTGGCGACCCGCGTAAGCCACCGCGTAAGGTCGCTGCGTCATCTGGCATTTATTTCCACCTCGGTCTGGGTCAGGGGCTGCGGCCCGCAGGCCAGAGGGAGCTTAATTTGCGACGGCGTGCTTTTGGCGGGGAGGGGCCGCCTCGTTTGGATGGGGGCATCTTTGAGTAGATGGCTGGTCCCATAGGTTTCAGGCCCCGGTGCCGGAGGCAGATGCCCCAGTTGGATCGCACACGCCTCTGTGGTCGCAGACCCCTTCCTGCTCGCAGCCCGCATGCCCCCGCAGGTCCGGCGGGAGCACGAGGAGCTGCGGCGCGCCGTGCAGGTGGTGTCGCTGGACCAGCAGGGCCTGCGGGCCCAGCAGGCGCCGCCAGCCCCCCAAGCGCCCACGGGAAGGGGGTGGCTCTCGGGCCCCCTCGGGGCTGCGGCGGCGGCGGCCAGAGCCCCCGACGTCCCACCAGCTGTTAGTCGGGCCTGTCCCTCTACGGGAGGAATGTTCAAAAATAGTTTCAAAAATAGTTTTGGGACCAGTTTTTTTGACTATTTCCCCACATCCAAAGTGGGTTTCTTGTTTTCTCTGGACACCCCGCGCAGGAACAGGAACCCACCATCATCGTCGCTCATTCCTCACTCACTCACTCACTCATCCCTCACACACTCACTCTCTCACTCACTCACTCACTCACTCACTCACTCACTCACTCAGCACTCATATATGATGATGATGATGATGAGTGTGCGCGTGAGAGAGCGTGATGATGATCATCATCATCACCAGTCAGTCAGTCAGTCAGTCAGTCACTCACTCACTCACTCACTCACTCACTCGCCTTGGGCCTCGTCTGTGAGTGAATTATGAGGAAGTCTCAGGCGGGAGCCCCCTCCCTATGGGGCCCGCGGATCATGTTACTAATCCGAGCGGGTCATCAAATTCCTGTAACTGTCGCTACTTTTGGGCTTTCGCGCTGCCAGAACGCCAGTCCCAGGCCACATTTGTGAGTGAATTGCGAGGAAGTCTCAAGCGGGAGCCTCCTCCCTATGGGGCCCGCGGATCATGTTACTAATCCGAGCGGGTCATCCAATTCCTGAACTGTCGCCACTTTTGGGCTCTCGCGCTGCCAGAACGCCATTCCCAGGCCACATTTGTGAGTGAATTGCGAGGAAGTCTCAAGCGGGAGCCCCCTCCCTACGGGGCCCGCGGATCATGTTATTAATCCGAGCGGGTCATCCAATTCTTGTAACTGTCGCCACTTCTGGGCTCTCGCGCTGCCAGAGCGCCATTCCCAGGCCACATTTTGAATGCCCGGAGCTTTGTAGGCCACTTCGTGTTCTTCGTGCTCCCAGAACACCATTCCTGGGCCACATGTTGAATGCCCGGAGCCAACTGTAGGCCACTTCGTGTTCTTCGCGTTCCCAGAACACCACTCCCTGGCCACTTTCTGAATGTCCGGAGCCAAACCAGGAGGGCGCGGTCGGGGGCAACGTAGGGAGCGGGGGGAGGGCCCGCGCCAGGGCGAAGAGAAATATACGCAGAAGAGACAGCCAGGACGCCTCACCAACCACGAGGACGACGGTGAGGGCTTTTTCCAGATTCGCCCAGAGGATTCTCATGTGGGGTCCTTCCGTCGGAGAAAGTTTAAGCATTTTGAAGGGGATGTTTGGGGTATCTTTAATCAGGTCGCCCCAAATCCCCCCTGTAGGGACAGGCCCGACGTAACGCCAGCCCCCCGGCGCCCACGGGAGGGGGCGTGGCTCTCGGGCCCTCTCGGGGCTGCGGCGGCGGCGGCCAGAGCCCCCGACGTCCCACCAGCTGCGGGTGGCGAAGGGTCTGTCGCCGCGCCGTCTGTGCGGTCTTGTGCGTCTTGGGGAGGGCGCCTCGGCCACCAGCCGGGTACAGCCAGGACCCCAGGTGAGGGGGCCCGGTTGTTGGCAGGGGCAGGGCCCCGGGGCCCTTGACTTGGCCAGGATCACTGACCCAGGTCTGCCATCCCAGACCCCCTCGAGTAAATAAAAAAAATTGACGGAAGGTTTTTCTTAACTGTCGGCCTTTAGGGGCCCTCACCGGGCCTCCGGAGCGTCAAAAAACGACTCAGGATGCAAAGCCGGTCATGGGGAAACGGTCGGGACCTCTGGGGGTCGACGTGATGAAAAAATCATTACGTCGGGGGTCTGGGATAGCTGGTGTTGCATCGGGCGACGGCAGTTCCGGTTCGTGGAACGGGACGTGCAGAGAGTCCCGACCGCTCGGTCGGAGCGGCCCGGCGGGGGGGGGGGGGGGGGCGTCCCCGGTACGGTCTCCACCGGAGTCCCCGGTGCAGTCTCCATGGTGTCTCCACGGGGGGGGGGGCAGAGAGTCCCGACCGCTCGGTGGAGCGGCCCGACCGCTCGACGGGCCTGGCCCGTCGGGGGGGGGCGTCCCGGGTACAGATCACTAAGCCAGGCCCCCCCAAGCCCAGTTCTGCCAACGCCCGCGTCGGGCAAGCGCCGTCTCGGGCGCAAGGTTCGCCGTGGGCGGCTTGCCCGGTGCCGGCGTCGTCTACCCTGGGCGCGTCGAGGGCAGACGGCGCGGCGACGTGTACGCCACCACCACCAAGCGTGACGAAGTGTCCTGGCGTACCTGCAGTCCCACCCAACACTGGTCTAAGAACCTTTTGTGGTTTCCACGAAATGCTCTTAGAACATTTCTGGCGGAGCCTGTCTTGTTTCATCATATCTGGTTTATGTTATAAGAAAATTGTTTTTTTGCTCTTCGAACATTTCTGGGTTCTAAGAACATTTCATGGTAGGACTATAGGAATGCCGGGACGGTCGGTCCCTCCTCAACACCAACTTCGCCCCTCCTCCCCTCCTCCAGCCTCTTCCTCCTCCCCTCTTCCCTGACAGAGGGAGGGGGGTGAGGGAGGCGGCGGTGGTGTACGTTCCCAGGCCTCGTCTACATGCAGAACACCCACGGCGGAAGCTTTTTCTGGCTACTTACGGCCTCCGGGGGCCCTCACCTGTCCCCGGGACCGTCAACGAGCGACTCGGGATGAAGAAGATCGTGACGTCGGGGGTCTGGGTCTGGGTCAGGACACCACGGTTCCGAGGAGGAGCCACGTTCAAGGTTCGAGGTGTTCGGACATCTTCCCCGGTTCTCGCAGGTTTTCCAGCCTCGAGGTGCTCTCCGGCAGCTGCGCCTCGTCGAGAGGCGTGCCCAGTTCGTCCCGAATGACCGCCAGAGGCTCGAGTTATGACCCGAAAGCCAGACAGCTCGACTGGTCGGAGGAGGAGACGTTACTGGTACTGCCACCCCTGCCTTGTTGTTCGCCTTTTGGGTCCTCTCCTGGGAGGCTCCAGTCGCTACGGTCAGACTTGCCTCGATATTCTCATCATAACACACCATTCGAGAGGTTCGTGGAGTAGGGGCGCTGGTATCTTTGCGGTCTCCCAGCCACGGCTCTCTGCCCTGCGGTCAGATCGTGCCTCTTTGGTGGTCACTTCTCGCGCGGATGCTTCGCGACGCTTCAGGCGCTTCGCGCCGTTGAGAGCCTCGAGGGGGGCGATGGCCGGGCTGAGCCCAAAGCTTTGGTTGCGGTGTCGGCTCGGATGTTGCATTTATATTTTGCCATGGTACGCGTAAGCGGACGCCAGTAAACCTTCACATGCGTTCACCAGTTCACATGCTTGCGAGACGGATCTCCCCCAAAAAGGGTTCGCCTGGTGTCAGTTTGTGCTGCGCCCGTTGGCACTATTTTGTGGCTCGGATCCTCTTTGCAACAGGCTCTCGGGGAATACCGAGGAGGGGGCTGTGGAAGGGCGAGGGGTGGGTAAACTGGGCGGCGGCCTGCACCCGAGGAGCCGCTCGCCAGGGCCCCCGTCTCCGAACGGCCGCTGCCGCATGTTCGTTTAGGTCGGGCCTGTCCCCCTACAGAGGGATTTTCGACGAAAAAAAAAAATACCCCAAAAATATCCCCAAAAAGGTAAAACAAATCAAACAATAGTCCCCAGACTATTTTTATAGTACTTTTGAGCCATTTTTGGGATATTTTTTATTTTTCGTCGAAAATCCTCCTGTAGGGGGACAGGCCCGACTTAATTTTCGTGTGCAGCACATCGGATAGTTCTGGAGGGCCCCTTTTGCGAGGGACGCGTGTCCGCACAATCTTCGGGGACCCGATCTGTTTTCCTCTGGGCGGGATCGGTTTCGGGGGGGCCGAGAAACAGTTGCTTCGGTCCCATCGAAAAGACAGCCCCGGCGAATCCTCCGGGGCCTCGAGTCCTTCTCGAGACACGGGACGGCATCCCTTGGCCAAAATTGACCCATCTGGTGGGCCAGGCAGAACAGCACCCGCCATCCGGGTATCTCGCACAGCGAGCGACTGGGTGGGCTGAACGCCCCGTGATGGTCATGTTTGCCCTTCCCGTGGGCGACGACGACGATCGGCGACAGCTTTCGTCCCCCCTCCTTCTCGTCCTCGGGCGCGACGGGTGGGCCTGGGCAGTCGTTGGCCGCCGTCTCCTCGAGGCGGCAGTGCGCCCACGAGCCCGCGTCAGATGTCGCAGCGCCACTCGTCGGCGCACCGCTGGGACCTGTGGGGCCCTGTGGGGTGGAAGTGGCAGAGAGCCCTGGCCGCAGGGGGCGGCGGGTGGGCCTGGGCAGCGCGTGCTTGCTGCCTCCTCGAGGCGGCAGTTGCCAACCGCGCGCGCGCCTGACGTCGCGGGCGAGGTACGGTGAGCGGGTCCTCGATCCCGCCTGTGCCACACCTGGTGCAGATTCGATCTGCCTGATCCTCGTCTGGTTAGGGCAAGGGAGACTGGCACCAGCGCGGATCGAAGAATTCCGCGCGGACCTCCGAGTTTTTATGTATGCCACGTTTCGTTCCCCTATGATCATCTTCCATTGGGCCACTGATCCCCTGAGACGACACACGCGTTCAGGGCCCACTGACGAGATCATGCTTCTGTCCATGGATTGTGCTGCTCCATGCGGACTGTGATAGGGTCGGCTCCCGCTGAGAGCGACTCGCCTGCCACCTGGCCGCTGACCCTTCTCCAGGGCCGCTGGTGGAGATCCTCGCCGAAGTCGTCGATGACGGGCCCGTGGTCCAGGTCGTGCAGCTCGAGCCCTTCACGAGCAAGGCACAAGTAGCTCCAGATACTGGCCGTGCTGCCGTTGCCAGAGACCCCCCCTGCCTGGCAGGAGGGAGGGAGGGAGGGAGGGAGGGGGAGGAGGAGGAGGAGGAGGAGGAGACGCGAGAGGGGCAGGAGGAGGAGGAGTAGGAGGAGGAGGAGGAGGAGGAAGGAGGAGGAGGAGAAGGAGGAGGAGGAGGGAGGAGGAGGAGGAGGAGGAGGAGCACGTTCAGAAGGAGAAAAAGGAGGACGAGGACCACGTTCAGGAGGAGAAGGAGGAGGTGGAGGAGGAGGAGGAGTTGGATGAGCAGGGAAGGTAGGAGAAGGCGGAGGCGGAGGGGGAGTACGAGGAGGAGTTGCAGCCTCAGGAGGAGGGCTCCCTGACTCGACCCCTGCCCGGGGTGCAAATCTGGCCTCCCGTCAGACGGGCCACGAGTCCCAGCTCCTGCGCGCGCTGGAGGGGATCGGCGCCGCGACGCAGGCGGGCGGGCGGGAGGGACTGGGAGCTCCTCCGAGGGTGGGGGTGGGGGAGGATCTTTGCATATACATATACAGATACATATATATATATATATATATATATAGAGAGAGAGAGAGAGAGAGAGAGAGAGAGAGAGAGAATTATTCACTGCGTGGAGCTCCCCATATGTGCATCTACTCGCATGGACCTGTCCGCCGTGAATGTCTAGGCGCAAGAGCTTTCGAATATTAACAGGCTTCAGTTGTGACGGTCTGGACATCAATCTAACTGCGAATGAATTGGATTGGTGTGTGAATGAGCCTCAGTAGTACGAGCGCGTCTCTGTGCATGAGCCTGGGCCTCCTGGGGCCTCCTGAAACCTACTGGGGCTTCCTGGGGTCTCCAGGAGCCTCTTGGGACCTCCTGGGACCTCCTAGGAAGGTTTCGTGCCCCAGGAGAGGCGCAATCTATAGCAACAGACGTACATAAAACATTGCGGATTAGAGCCACAGGAGAAGGGCAATCTATAGGAACACGCGTAAAACACCAAGGACTCGTGCCCCAGACGAGGCCCAATACATAACATGAGTAAAACATTTTAGGATTGTGTACAGACAGGAAAGGACCATCTTATTGAAACATACGTAAACATCAAAAGAATCGTGCTCCAGGTGAGGCCCAATCGATAGGAGCATACGTAAAACACATGGGATTGGAGCCACTCCTGTTGCCTTCTGAGGCCTCCTGCTCCTGGGGCCTCTCGGGGCCTCCTGTTGCCTTCCGAGGCCTCCTGGCGCTTCCTGTTGCCTCCTGGGGCCTCCTGTGGTTTCCTGAGGCCTTCTGGAGCTTCCTGGGGCCTCCTGGAGCCTCTTGGGACATCCTGTGGCCTCTTGAGTCTTTCTGTGGCCTCCTGATGCCTCCTGGTACCTCATGTGGTCTCCTGGGGCCTCCTGGAGTCTGGCCCACCTGGGGGGTGAAAATTAACGCCTCGCTCGAGACATCCTCCAAATCTGCTCCGAAAACGAAGGATTTTGGGCCCAGAAACAAGCAAACCGCCTGAGACATCCCCACACAATGGCCGCGAACGAGCCCGTGCAACCACCCCTGGCGGCTCCCCTTAGGGCCACGAGCCTGGCCACCAAAACAAGCAAACCGATCGAGACATCCTCAAAATCTGGCCCACCTGGGGGGTGAAAATGAGCGCCTCGCTCGAGACATCCTCCAAATCTGCTCCGAAAGCGAAGGATGTTGGCACAGAAACAAGCAAACCGCCTGAGACATCCCCACAAAATGGCCGCGAACGAGCCCGTGCAACCACCCCTGGCGGCTCCCCTTAGGGCCACGAGCCTGGCCACCAAAACAAGCAAACCGATCGAGACATCCTCAAAATCTGGCCCACCTGGGGGGTGAAAATGAGCGCCTCGCTCGAGACATCCTCCAAATCTGCTCCGAAAGCGAAGGATGTTGGGCCCAGAAACAAGCAAACCGCCTGAGACATCCCCACAAAACGGCCGCGAACGGGACCGTGCAACACCCCTCGGCGGCTCCCCTTAGGGCCACGAGCCTGGCCACCAAAACAAGCAAACCGATCGAGACATCCTCAAAATCTGGCCCACCTGGGGGGTGAAAATGAGCGCCTCGCTCGAGACATCCTCCAAATCTGCTCCGAAAGCGAAGGATGTTGGCAAGACAAACAGGCAAACCGCCTGAGACATCCCCACAAAACGGCCGCGAACGGGACCGTGCAACACCCCTCGGCGGCTCCCTTAGGGCCACGAGCCTGGCCACCAAAACAAGCAAACCGATCGAGACATCCTCAAAATCTGGCCCACCTGGGGGGTGAAAATGAGCGCCTCGCTCGAGACATCCTCCAAATCTGCTCCGAAAGCGAAGGATGTTGGCAAGACAAACAGGCAAACCGCCTGAGACATCCCCACAAAACGGCCGCGAACGGGACCGTGCAACACCCCTCGGCGGCTCCCCTTAGGGGTGCTGAAACCAGCGCCCCGCCTGAGACATCCTCGCAATCTGCTGTTTATCGAATAAGTCAGACAATGAGAAGGTCTGAGTATGAGTAATTCTGAGTATGAGTAAGTCTGTGTATGAGGAACTCTGAGTAAAAGGAGGAGGAGAAGGAGGAAGTCTGAGTATGAGTAAGTCTGAGTATGAGTAGGTCTGGGTATGAGTAGGTCTGAGTATGAGTAAGTTAATGTGATCAGGTCTGAGTATGAGTGAGTCTGTGTATGAGTAAGTCTGTGTATGAGTAAGTCTGTGTATGAGTGAATCTGAGTATGAGTGAGTCTAAGTAGGAGGAGACGAGAAGAGGGGAGGAGGAGAAGAAGAATGAGTAGGAGGCGTCCAAGTAATAACAAGAACCCCATCTTAGGATATGGGGAAAAAAAAGAGAGAAAGAGAGAGAGAGAGAGAGAGAGACATTGAGAAACAGAGAGAGAGAGAGAGAGACATTGAGAGAGAGAGAGAGAGAGACACGATACATTGTATAAGTTGAAAGACATGGCGCCTGCGGTGGGCTTCTTCAGAGCCTCGTTGACTGCCGAGGTCCCCGCCGCCCCCTCACTCATATCCGCCACCGCTGGGTGCTACGTTTATTTTTGAGACTGCTCGCACCCAGGCTCGGGGCAAATCGGCAGATCTCGGCCCCCCCATTCCCTGTCACGCATGTTAGGAGGCGTGGATTACGTCCGTGGAACTCGCCGGCTAACCACGTCGCTGACTTGGCGGGCCCCCGTGAGTTGAGCCCTTGTTTTGCGTGCCCCCCCGCCCCATCGTTGGGCTGAGGCCACCAGGCGCTCTCGCCCCAGGGAACAGGAGCGACTAGAACTGGCGCCCACTTCGTTCTCAAGCGCTCACCCAGAGATGACCGACTCGAGATTCCACGCCCCTGCTACACATCAGGCGGCGCAAAACCTCGGAAGCCGGTTCATCCCCAGGAGCTCCAAGAGCATTCGCGCCGCCGCCGTTGCTGAGCAGAGCCGCGGGGGGCGGCTGGGTTGCAAGATTGGATTCGCGCGCAATCTCACCATGAAATCGCAGTTTGACCCAGGAGGCGTTTTTTTGCCGGTAACCCAGGAAACCGGGGGCCCCAAAGGCGCGTATGTTTCGGGGGCGTACTTTTTCGCGTCGTCTCTGCAGTGCGCTTAAAGCACGAGCGAGGATACGAGTTGTGCGTCGGTCTTCAGATCGCGCGGCGCGCGTCGCAACGAACTTGTTTTCCTTGAGAAAGAAATGCTTCCGCGCCATCTCCGCCGACTCACGTTGGCCACTCGTGTCTTTCTTCAATGTTGTTCCCAACCATCCTGTGGTGTTGGGTCCTCGTTTTGAAGAGACAGCGCCCCGCGTCTCCTTTCTTCCTTCCTTCCTTCCTTCCTTCCTTCCTTCCTTCCTCCTCCCCCCTCCTCCCCCCCCCCTCCTCCTGCCCGCATGCGGCTCCTCCACCCAGGGCATCGTTTCGTAGCTCCATAGGGAGCTCCACCGAAGGCCTCAGTGGGGGTGCCCGCATGCGGTTCCCCCACCCAGGGCAGCGTTTCGTGGCGCCATAGGGAGCTCCACCGAAGGCCCCAGTGGGGGTGCCCGCATGCGGTTCCCCCACCCAGGGCAGCGTTTCGTGGCCCCATGGGGAGCTCCACCGCAGGCCCCAGTGGGGGTGCCCGCGCGCGGTTCCCCCACCCAGGGCAGCGCTTCGTAGCCCCATAGGGAGCTCCACCGAAGGTCCCAGTGGGGGTGCCCGCATGCGGATCCCCCACCCAGGGCAGCGTTTCGTGGCCCCATAGGGAGCACCACCGAAGGCCCCAGTGGGGGTGCCCGCATGCGGTTCCCCCACCCAGGGCAGCGTTTCGTGGCCCCAGAGGGAGCTCCACCGTAGGCCCCAGTGGGGGTGCCCGCATGCGGTTTCCCCACCCAGGGCAGCGTTTCGTAGCCCCATAGGGAGCTCCACCGAAGGCCCCAGTGGGGGTGCCCGCATGCGGTTCCCCCACCCATGGCAGCGTTTCTTGGCACCATAGGGGGCTCCACCCAAGGCCCCAATGGGGGTGCCCGCCCAGGGCAGCGTTTCGTAGCTCCATTGGGAGCTTCACTGAAGTCCCCAGTGGGGGTGCCCGCATGCGGTTTCCCCACCCAGGGCAGCGCTTCGTGGCCCCATAGGGAGCTCCACCGAAGGCCCCAGTGGGGGTGCCCGCATGCGGTTCCCCTACCCAGGGCAGCGCTTCGTAGCCCCATAGGGAGCTCCACCGTAGGTCTCAGTGGGGGTGCCAGTGGGGGTGCCCGCATGCGGTTCCCCCACCCAGGGCAGCGTTTCGTGGCCCCATGGGGAGCTCCACCGCAGGCCCCAGTGGGGGTGCCCGCATGCGGTTCCCCAACCCAGGGCAGCGTTTCGTAGCCCCATAGGGAGCTCCACCGAAGGCCCCAGTGGGGGTGCCCGCATGCGGTTCCCCCACCCATGGCAGCGTTTCGTAGCCCCATAGGGAGCTCCACCGAAGGCCCCGGTGGGGGTGCCCGCATGCGGTTCCCCCACCCATGGCAGCGTTTCGTGGCCCCATAGGGAGCTCAACCGAAGGCCCCAGTGGGGGTGCCCGCATGCGGTTCCCCCACCCAGGGCAGCGCTTCGTGGCCCCATAGGGAGCTCCACCGAAGGCCCCAGTGAGGGTGCCCGCATGCGGTTCCCCCACCCAGGGCAGCGTTTCGTAGCCTCATAGGGAGCTCACCGAAGGCCCCAGTGGGGGTGTTCGCATGCGTCTCCCCTACCCAGAGGTAGCGCCACCGAAAACGATATCCACATTTGCGGCATTCACAACTGCATATGGTTGGGTCCTTCGCCAGGCTAATTGTTCCTGTAGTGCGCTCGTCGGTCACGCCCCGCAGGCGGGGCCTGGTGCTGGGCTCATCCATGACCGAGGTCTGGGAGAGTTTACCCCTGGGATACTCGGGGCGTTGATAGGGCCCTGTAGGACGCCACTGGGTGGGTCGGCAGTGTATGCTAGGATTATGTGGGATCCGTGGGTTTCGCTCAACGCCGAGAGGACGGGGGGGAGTGATTGTGCGCTTTCTGCGCGCCTCAGAGCACTTGGTCATCGACGCATGGCGCGGAAGCGAAAATGATTGGACATGGAAATCTACCCATGGGTTCTGGCATCGGATTGACAAAGCAGCGACGCGTCATTGGATTGCCAGACGCGCCCTGCCATCCGACGCGCTTGGCTGTTTTGACAAACTGGCATTTCAGATTGATCGCCAACCTGTTGTGGCATCTGTTTCATGGCAAGCTGCGCGGGTCCGCCAGATCCCCTCGGTCATAAAGTTAGACGAGCAGGCTTTGCAGGATCTTGCCAAGATCGAAGCCATCAAGAATTTGCTCAAGGAGATCCCGGCTGTTCCCTGGTAGAAGCCAGTCCCCGACCATCATGTTGATTTGGTTTTTGTCATTATGTCTGCGGCTTACAAAGGTTTTGGCGCCGCTCCCGGGAGCCTCCGCGCATATTGCGTTTCGAAGGCGTCTCTGGATTCGACTTCCACCAGGCAGGGAGGGAGTTATCGGAACAGTGATGAAGGTCGTTGGTGCTGGACGCATGTCAGACAACGCCACAGATCACCGAGCGCGCTCCACTACTCGCAAAGTGCATACTCGCAAGTTTTCGAACACTATGTGCTCGGCTTGACGTAATATATCGGAAGTCCCCCGCGGTGGATCGAGGCTATCTGCGAGTAGTTACTTTGCGAGTAGTGGAACGCGCTTGCCTAACAGAAGCACTCCCTCACTTCCGCGGTCGATGGACCTACGGAGATGGACCTGGATGTGCACTGCAGGAGCGGGCGCGGGGGGGGGGGCGGCCCGTGTGCCATTTCGTGGGCCAGGTCTTCCACGAGTGGGTTTCCGGCGGGCTCGATGCTCTTCAGGTGGCGCTGGCTTCCCAGACCCCCGTGGGTATTGAACAAATCATGACGGCCGGTTTTGCCTAATTTTCGGCCTCTGGGGGCCCTTGCGGGCTTCGGGACCGACGACGAAACGACTCAGGATGAGAAGTCGGTCCTGGGGAACGGGTCGAGAATTCTGGGGATCGACGCAACGAAATATCATGACGTCGGGGGTCTGGGTTTGCAGCGCCTTCTCGTGGACGCGGATCACGTTTCGGCTGCGCCCCTGGAGCAGGGTCGGCGCGGTCCTCTTCACGGGAACGCCGAGGAACTCCGCCGGGCTGGAGATTTTGGTTCACCGAGGCAGGAGTGGGCCAGGGCGAAGCTGGTGTTGCAACTCTCGGAGGTCAGACACTGAAGGTGGCCCTCTCAAGCAGTGGCGGAGCGTCCTAGCTCGCCTAGAAGATCACCGAATCATGTTCTCAGAACCTTTTGCGATTTCGTCGAAATGTTCTTAGAACATTTCTTGCTGAGACTGTTTTGTTTTTGCACGTCGGGTATCAGATCATGTCTGGGCTCTGAGAACATCTCGTTTTAGACCTACAGGAATGCCGGGGCGGTCGGTCCCTGCTCAACTCTCACCTCCCCTTGCGCCAGCACCAATCATGGGCGCCCCACCCCGTCGTAGCTGAAGCAGAGGCTGCGAAGGATCTCGGCTACCTTCTGCGTAGGTCGAGACAGGCAGAGCCATCGGCGAGGAGGGTGTCCAGCGCGCGTGCAACGACGCGCTTACTTGTAAGTCGGGCGTGTCCCTGTACAGGAGGAATTTTCGAACATGAGGAAAAGTGGCGTAAGCAAAAAATGGTCAGGGGACGATTTCTCGATTATTGTTTTACCCTCTTTGCATATTTTTGAAATTTTTTCATTTGTCATCCAGAGTTTGCCTGTAGGGGGGACATGCCCGACCTAAGCTTACTTTGCCCCCACACGACACTCCCAGGGACACATGTTCGCTCGTGCTCACGGTGGGATGCGGTGCGCTGCCAGCCTGCGGGGGATCTCTTGGGGATGGAGAACCGGGGCCCGAAGGCCTGCCTGCCCCGACACTGCTCCGCCCCGCCCACGCGCGTGGGGCACGCCCCGGGCCCCAGTTGCCCCCGCCCGTGCCTCGCGGGTCGCGGCCCCGGCCAGAGGGGCTGCCCCCCCTCGGGGGTGGCCTCGCAAGGGCGTGAAGATGTCCGCGCGCCGCGCATCGGCTCTGCGACAACCCCCTCCTCCTCCTGCTCCTGCTCCTGCTCCTGCTCCTGCTCCTGCTCCTGCTCCTGCTCCTGCTGCTCCTCCTGCTCCTCCTGCTCCTGCTCCTCCTCCTCCTCCTCCTCCTCCTCCTCCTCTCCTCTCCTCCTCTCCTCCTCCTCCTCCTCCTCCTCCTCCTCCTCCTCCTCCTCCTCCTCCTCCTCCTCCTCCTCCTCCTCCTCCTCCCCCTCGACGACGACAACGGCGACGACGACGACAGCGACAATTGTGAGGTCGCGCTCGCTCCCCTCCCGCGGAGCCCCTGCTTCCAGGGGCGGCTGAGGGGCCGCCTCCCCTAAACGGTGGGAGGGGGGAGACTGCTCCGGCCCTGAACCAGCGCTGCATGCCTGTGGCCAGTGCGAGTTGCAAAAATCGGGCCGGGCGAAAGGGGGGGATTGGGAAAGGGGGGGTTACGAAATTTGCTGCATGCAGCTGGTTTCGGCCTCACCGAGGGGCCCATTCCTCGATGCATGGGCGCTTCCGGCGCCGGGAGGCGCCGGGAAAATCAGCTACGTGAGCTGATTCTCAAACCCCCCCTTTGCTATCCCCCCCTTTCGCCCGACCCGAAAAAAGTCCGCCGCGGGCTTTTGGAGGGCCGTGTCATTGGACCACCTTTTCGCTGCGTGGCCCACGCAACAGCGCGGGGGGGGGGGTGCCGGGGAGGTCGCGCGACATGGCCGCGCGGCATGGGTTGCTGGGGAGGTCGTGCAGCGAAGGCAGTTCCACGCAGTTTGGATTTCGGACCACGGGGTGTCGATCTCCGTCGAACGCGTTCCGTCGAAGAAGTGTTGGGCGGAATTGCCATCTCGGCTTAGGGGCGACGGTTTTCGGCATCAAACGGAAATCGTTTCGAAGAAGCCCCAAGCGAAATATCCGCACTTGAGATTTTTCGGGTTACCGAAACTTGCATTCCAAGCGCTTCACGGGCTGCCCGAGTCGAAACGACGAGTCCGCTTGGGACTTCCTAGAATAATCGATTGCGACCGAAGTCGCACATTTTCGGTTTCGCAGTCGAACTCGCGATTCCGCCCAATACTTCTTCCAGAAAAGAGAAGTCGACACCGTCCGGCTCGACAGCGATTCCGCCCATGACTTAACTTGGGTCGAACCGCCCCGGATTCGAAGTCACTATGGGTCATCTTGCTGCTCGCAGGCTCTGGTGTTCAATGTCGCGATGGTCCCTGCCCACCATTGGCGAAGACGTGCGGCATTGCATTGGCAGTGCCGCAAAATGGGCCAACACTTCTGGCGGCGGCGATGGACCCGCATGGGTGACATAAACGCTTGCATTTGGTCCCAGCGGCCCTTAGTGTCAGCCGCCGAACGCGGTTCTCAAGCGTGCAGCGCTATTTGCACCGCGACCATGGGCCCGCATGGCTGGCATGAACGTTGGCTTGTGATTGTCTCAGCGATCCCCCTCGTCCGCCGCCGAGCGCAGTTGTGAAGTGCGCAGCGCTGCTTGCAACGCGGCCATCACTCACCCGAGATCCCACTGTTCCGCTACGAAAAAATCGGCCAAGCTCCAACTCCTGCTGTTCGGCGGCGGGTCCCCAGTGCAGCATTCTCAACGGATGGCATTTTGAAAGGGGCCCGTCTGGCGACGGGGCCCCAGCACAGTGTTGCCAGGGTGCGCCTCGTTGCTTCGTGCAGCGGAGGCAGTTCCACGCAGCTTGGATTTCGGGCCACGGGGTTTCGACGTCGGTCGAACACGTTCCGTCGAACAAATGTAGGGCGGAATCGCCATTTCGGGCCGACGGACTTCGACATCAAATCGAAATCGCCATTCCGAAGAAGTCCCAAGCGAAAACCACACTTTCGTTTGTTTTGGATTACCAAGTTTACCAATTTAATGCCAAGCGGGTGGCCCGAGTCGAAACGACGATTCCGCTTGAGACTCCCTTGAAAACGCGATTTCGAAGAAGTCGAACATTGTCGGCTTCGCAATCGACATCGCGATTCCTCCTCGACCCACCGGCCAAGGAGTAAGAGGAGAAAGAGGTGACAGATGCGGAAAAAGAGGAGGAGGAGGAGGGAGCAGGATGTAGAGAAACATGACGAGTATGAGTCATACCAGGAGGGATGTTGCGGTTCTCTCTCCAGCATGGTCCTCTTTGTCCTCGTCCTCCTCCCGTTTTTCCCCCTGCCGTTGCCCGAGCCTCCACCCCCCGTCCAGCCCTCGAGGCCCGCGCCGCAGACGACCAGCGGCAGAGGGCTCTGGAAGGTCAGGCCCGCCCCCCATCTCGTCAGAGCGGGGGCCGTCGGGCGACGCCACCACGGTCGCCCACCAGCGTGGCCCTGTCCCTGACGCTCGCGGCGCCCCCCCAACAAAAACACGGTGGGCGGCTTTTGGCAGTGTTCGGTCTCTACGGGGGCCCTCGCCGGGCCCCGGGGTCCATCATAAGAGCGCCCCGGGATGGAAAGTGGGCCTTGGGGAAAGGGCCGGGATTTCCAGGGAGCCCGTCAATGACAAGTCAATGCGTCGCATGCTTGGGGCGCGACTGGGGAACATTCTGTCTCCGGCAAGGCTTGGGCTTGCACGGGCTGCACAGGCACCCTGCCGTCTGGCCGCAACATGCCCCCAGAGTAGCCCAGGGCGGCTTCAACGTCCAAGCGGCAGGGGTCGGAGCGCCCTGGACAACCGTGGCGGACTATTGATGCCACCCTCCTCTGGTAGACATGTCTTTGCGCAACCCCAGTCCGTCCTTTCAAGGTTACGGGGGGGACGAGGCAGGAAGAGACTCACTGCCATCAGCCTCACACGCTCAACCCTCAGCCGCTCCGATAGGCAGCACGCAACCCGTAGCGTGTTGACACGGAGCTCAACACGTACATTGAGCACATACGTTAGGTGCGATACGTTCGCCCAAACGTGGGCCAACACGGTGAGCTAACACGCAGCGGGTTGGCACGGACGTTTTGAACACGGCACGTCTTGCGTTTCAAAACGGGTGCATCAGGGCAGCCAAGCTCAGCGGGTCCAGTCACGGCGCCGAGGGGGAGGGGGTGGAAGAGGGGATGGGCAGGGGACGAGAAGGGGAGGGGGCGAGTGGGCAGGGGGTGCAGGAGAAGAGGGAGAAGGAGGAAGGGAATGGTGAGCCTTGGGATGGGGATGGGGGAGGGGGGCGCGCTGCCTCGGGCACCTCTGACTGGTCATCTGCAGCGCGCTTGCCCCTTCCCCGAGACCCGACGTTGCCTACAAAAACGGCACCCTCGTGGAAGATCACGACCAGAGCCCCACAGTCCCCCTCTCTCGCTGCTGCATTTTCCGAGCCGCATCGACCTGGGATGGCTCTGGGGCCCGGACAGTGCGGGCGACACTCGCCCGGCGGGAACAGCTTGCAACGCCCGGGCCACAGGGCCCCCGTCGTGAGTCTGGCGCAACGTCGACCCTCAGAGGTCTGGACCCCTTCCCCAGGACCGGTCTCCCGCCCCAGGCGTCGTTCCTCGACGCTCCCGAGGCCCGGTGAGGGCCCCCCCGAGAGGCCGAAACGAAAATTCGCGAGCCACCTCCCGCCGTGCTTTCTGTCACAGCGCGCGGGGCCCCCGAGATCCGCAGGCCATGCGTGGGGCTCAGGAGCCCCGCCCCCGGCAGCGACCGGTGGGCGCCCCGGGCGCCCCGGCTCTCTCCAGGCCTCCGTGCGCACGGGGCCCGGGGCAGCACGGGGCCGGCAGGTCGCGCCGCAGCTCCGAGGCCGGGGCGCTGCGTCGGCGATGGCGGATCGGTGTGCGGCCCACTCCCAGAGATCCAACGTATTGAGAAATTCAAGACGGAGGTGTTTTTCTGAGATTTCGGCCCCTAGGGACCCTCGCCGGGCCTCGGGACGGTCAGAAGACAACTCAGGATGAAAAACCGTTCCTGGGGAATGGGTCGAGACTTCCGGGGACCGCGTATTCAAAAGATCACGACGTCGGATCTCTGGGATTTCCTCCTCGCCGACGCGTCGCCAACGCATCGCCGATGCATCGGCGATGCGGCGCGATCCTTCGACCCTGCCTGATACTCGGGCCCCTCCTATCCCAGACCCCCGACGTAATGATTTTTGTCATTGCGTCGACCCCCTGAGGTCCCGACCCTTTCCCCATGACCCGCCTTGCATCCCGAGTCGTTTTTTGTTGACGCTCCCGAGGCCCGGGGAGGGCCCCCGGAGGTCGAAGATTGAGGAAAGCCTTCCGTCCTGATTTTGAGGCCCGGGGAGGGCCCCCGGAGATCGAAAAGTGAGGAGAACCTTCCGTCCGGACTCTTTCACTGCTCGAGGGGGTCTGGGACAGGCGGCCTCCTCCTCCTCCTCCTCCTCCTCCTCCTCCTCCTCCTCCTCCTCCCTCCTTCCTCCGGACTTTTTCGCTGCTCGAGGGGGTCTGGGACAGGCGGCCTCCACCCGCGAGGGCCATGCGCGACCCGCCCGCGGGGCGCGCGCCGGGCGCCTCCGGCGGGGCCGCCGCGCGGGAGGCGCGCCCCGGCGCCGCCGCGGAGGGGCGACGTCAGGCCGTCGACCCCAGAAGTAAGTCGGGCCTGTCCCCCTCCTGCTCCTCCTCCTCCTCCTCCTCCTGCCTCCTCATCCTCCTCCCTCCTCCTCCCTCCTCCTCCTCCTCCTCCTCCTCCTCCTCTCCTCCTCCCTCCCTCCTCCCTCCTCCTCCTCCTCCTCCTCCTCCTCCTCCTCCTCCTCCTCCTCCCTCCTCCTCCTCCTGCTCATCCCTCCTCCTCCTCCTCCTCCTCCCTCCTCCTCTCCTCCTCCTCCTCCTCCTCCTCTCTCCTCCTCCCTCCTCCTTCTCCTCCTCCTCCTCCTCCTCCTCCTCCTCCGTGAAGAAGTCCGTTGACTGTTTCGCGTGCCGCGCCTCATTCCGGGAAGTTGTTTTTTCCTTCCGGGAGGGCCGCTTTCGCAGCCACGGTTTTAGCAGCTCTCGCCCAGCTTTCGAGATGCGCAGGCGCCTGTCCCGCCGCCTCCCTCCTCCTCTGCCGGCGGCTCTGGCACCGCCGCTTCGGAAGCGGGCCGCCACGCCCTGCACCGCCGTCGCTGCCGCGCTGCCGCCACGAGTTGGTATAACCCGCCACGAGTTGGTATAGCCTTTCCTCCTCCTCATCCTCCTCCTCCTCCTCTCCTCTCCTCCTCTCCTCTCCTCCTCCTCCTCTCCTCCTCCTCCTCCTCCTCCTCCTCTTCCCTCCTTCCTCCTCTCCTCCTCCTCCTCTCCTCCTCCTCCTCTCCTCCTCCTCCTCTCCTCCTCCTCCTCCTCCTTGTCCTCCTCCCTCCCCCTCCTCTTTCCTCCTCCTCCTCCTCCTCCTCCTCCTCCTCCTCCCTCCTCCTCCTCCCTCGTGTCCGACGCGCCCTCGTCACGCAGAGTCGGCGCGGCTTCGGTGCGAGTTCAGGGGATCTGGCGCGGTGTCGACGCGAGCAGCGGCGCTGAGGGACAGTCGAGGTCGCTGGCAGAAGGATTAAGTCGGGCCTGTCCCCCTACAGGGGGACATTTTTCTGTTTTTTTTATTTTTCGTCAAAAATCCCCCTGTAGGGGGACACGCCCGACTCAACCCCAGAACCCCTCGAGCAGTGAGAGGATCAGGACGCAACGTTTTCCTTATACTTTTCGGCCTCCGGGGGCCCTCCCCGGGCCTCGGGAGCGCCAGAAAACGACTCAGAGGGCAAGGCCGGTCCTGGGGAAAGGGTCGACGCAATGAAAGAATCAATTTGTCGTCGATTCTGGCGTCGATCTGGCGTCGATCTGGCGTCGATCTGGCGTCGATTTGGCGTCGTGTGGTCGAGGCCGGTCCTGCAAGGCCGGGACCTTTGGGGGCCGACTCAACGGCGAATAAATCATGACGTCGGGGGTCTGGGACGCCCTCTCGCCGTGAGCAGCGTCGCGACGGGAGCGACGGGAAGCTTTTCCCGAGGCTCGGCCTCTGTCGGGCCTGTCCATCTACAGGGGGAATAATATTCAAGAATAGTAGAAAGATAGTCTGGGGACGATTTTTTGAATATTGTTTGGCAATTGTTGGTGGCATTTTTGGGGTATTTTTAATTTCTCGTCCAAGATCCCCCTGTAGGGGGACAGGCCCGACTTAAGCCCAGACCCCCTCGCGCCGTGAGCAACGTGGCGACGGGGGAAGCTCTTCCCGAGGCTCGGCCTCTGCATTGGGGCCCTCCCCGGGCCTCGGGGCCATCAAGGAACGGCTCGGGCGACCCTCGCGCTGTGGGCCACATCGCGACGGGAGGTCTTTCCCTGTCGTCGGCCTCGGGGGGCCCCAAATGGACCCGGGACCGCCAGAAAACGACTCGGGATGGAAAGCCGGTCCCGGGGACAGGGGTCCAGTGGGAAGCGACAGGTCTTGACTCGATTTGCCCCCCTGGGGCGTCTGCGGCTGTGGAGATCGACGTTGTGAGAAATCGCGACGTCGGGGGTCGGCGGGGGGGGGCTATCGTTAAGTTGGGCCCGTCCCTCTACAGGGGGAATAGTCAAACATAGCAAAAAAATAGTACGGGGACTATTTTTTGAGCATGTGTTTGCCATTTTGGTGCACTTTCGGAGTATTTGTGTTTCGTCCAAAATCCCCTTGTAGGGGGACACGCCCGACTTAAGGCGATCGAGGGGGGAGAGAGGCAGGCTCGAGGCTGTCGGGGCTGTTAAGGTGTGCTCGGGCGGTCTCGTCGGGCCTCAGCAGCCAGTGGCAGCGCCGCGGGCTGGAGCCGGCCTCGGGGGGGCTGCAGGCGGCCCAGTCTTCTGATGCTCCAACCTACTTTTGCCTCGACCACCCTTATGTGTGTATTTATCGTGTGTATTTGTCTATTTGTGTGTATCTATTTGTGTGTCCTTGGGCCCCTTGTTTTTTTCCACGTCGCGGGCATGCCTGGGCCCGCGCCTCGTCGTCGCGGCCGCTGTAGCCGGAGCAGCGCCCGCGCGCGCGCGCGCCCTGCGCAGGGGGTCTCGCCGGAAGAAGGTGCTTTGTGGACCCCCAGGGGTCCAGCCTGCTCTTGAGTCGGGCCTGTCCCCCTCCAGGGAGATTTTATACGAAAGGACCGCCAGGAAAGTACCGAAATTATAGGATTTTCACGTGACGGGCCGTGGGAGGCGATATTCGTTCGACACTGTTTCGATATTACTCTGGGTGCTCGAAATGATCTCCGGGAGGTGGTCCTGAAGTGCGATTGGGGCAACTCAAGCCCAGTCCCAGATCCAGTCGCGCTGTAAAAAAACGCGACGGGAGGTTTTGTGGTACCGGCCTCCGGCGCCGCCCCCTGGCGCGCTCCGCGCGCCGGGGAGGGGGTTCCAACGCGGATCCGAGAAATCCGCGCGGACCTCCGAGTTTTTATGTTTATGTCATTATTCGATCCCCTATACTCCCTTACCTGTACGACCACCCGTCGGGTGATATATAAGGAGGTTGTGGGGGGGGAGAGAGGGGACAGTCAACATCTGACTCGATCGATCTCACTATGGATCTCACTCAACCGAACACCACGGGACACCACGGGCCACCACGGGACACCACGGGACACCACGGGCCACCACGGGACCAATCGATCTCACTTTTTGGGACACCACGGGACACCACGGGACACTTGTCGATCTCACTATCGATCTCACTATCGATCTCACTCAACGGGAGGTCACGGGACACCGCGGGACACCACGGGACACCACGGGACAACTCGGGACACCACATCGATCTCACTATCGGTCTCACTATCGATCTCATTATCGATCTCACTTTTTGGGACACCACGGGACAACTAGGGACACCACATCGATCTCACTATCGATCTCACTATCGATCTCACTCAACGGGACACCACGGGACACCACGGGACACCACGGAACACCTGTCGGTCTCAGTATCGAGTTCACTATCGATCTCACTTTTGGGGACACCACGGGACACCAAGGGACACCTCGGGACACCACATCGATCTCAGTATCGATCTCACTATCGATCTCACTATCGATCTCACTATCGATCTCACTCAACGGGACACCACGGGACACCACGGGACACCGGCGGGGCACCGTGCGGCACGAGCCGCCGGAGGAGAAACATTTGGTCCGGCCGCGGCCCAGCGACAGGAGGATTTCGGGACACCAGCGGGACACTGGCGGGACACCGCGCGGCACCGGCCGCCGGAGGAGTTACATTTGGTCCGGCCGCGGCCCAGTCACAGGAGGATTTCCTTTCGCCCGCCCACGCAGCTTCGCCTCGCCCGCACGCACGCACGGCACGCACGACACGAACCCGACCGAAATCGATTTCCTGGTGGGGGGGGGTCTCCGTTTCACGTCGGACTCACCCCCCAACCTCCGATGTTCGGCCCCTGGGGGCCCTTACCGGGCCTCGGGGCCGTCAACAAACGACTCAGGATGAGAAAAACAGGCCCCAGGGAAGGGATCGAGACCTCTTGGGGTCGAGGTGGTGAAAAAAAACATGACGTCGGGGGGTCTGGGGTATTCGGGCCCAGGGGCCGCCGGGAATAGTAGATGCGGGATGGCAGCCTGGGTGTGGACCCCGGCAGGGGTCCGGGGATCGATTCGATGAGTTACAAGGGCCTCGCTCCTGGGCCAGGAGGGGACTTTGGGGGGGATGCATCGACCCCCCATCGCCCATTCATCACCGATGGGTGCCCAGGAACGCGCGGATTCCCAATCGCGGGCCTATCGCCGATCTGTCTGCGGCGCATCGCCGATTCCAGCTCGATGTTTCCTCCCCCCCCTGGATCTGGTCCTCCCCCCTGACGTTCCCCCTCGCTCAGCCGCGCCACCTGGCGACCGGCCCTTGGGCGCTGCCGCGGCGGAGCTGGGCCACGGTGTCTCCCGGCGCGTCGCTTCCGGCCGCTTCAGCTGCAGATGGGCAAGAGGGGCACGAGACTGAACTCTCGAGGGCGGTCCGCGCCGATTCCTCGGGCCGGCACCAGACGTAAGTCGGGCGTGTCCCTCTGCAGGAGGAGTATTCAAAAATAGCCACAAAAAACATAATATGGGGACGATGTTTGACCATCTTTACCTACTTTTGAATATTTTGGAGCACTTTTTGATCGTGTTGTATGTTTCGTCCAAAATCCGCCTGCAGGAGGACATGCCCGACCTAACACCAGATTCCCCTCCCCCTGCCCCCAGCGCGCGGTCCTCGCGCCGGGGCCTGGGCGCGGGGAGGCGAGGTGTCCAGCGCCGGTCTATACGCCAGGAGGGGAAACAAAAACACGCAGACACAGTGAATCGTCGATTCCCCCGAACGTATGGGAAAAGATGGGAAGGGGGGGGGGGAAGACAAAAGCCCAGAACATGTAGGAAAATTGGGGGGATCCTGTTGTTTGTGTCTACCTATTGGTGTGTCCCAGGGCCCCTTCAATTATAGGGACGACGGCAGCGAGGCCCGAGAGGCCGACCCGCGCCGATCCAAGATGCAGACGGCTCGGTGGCTTGCTCGGAGTGGCGTCGAGGCAGAGGCGAAAGCCTGGCTTTGCTTTCCCCCCCCACCAGCCATCGACCCAGACCCCCTCGAGTAATGAAACAATCATGGCGGGAGGTTTTTCCCATTTTCGGGCTCCGGGGGCCCTCACCGGGCCTCGGGAGCGTCCAAAAACGACTCAGGACGACAAACCGGTCCCGGGGAATGGGTCGAGACCTCAGGGGGTCGAAGTTGCGACAAAAATCATGACGTCGGGGGTCTGGGACTCAGGTGGGGTATAGGCTTCGGATATCTCTACAGCCCTCCCAGAGGGGGTCGGAGTAGAGAGGGGGTCGGAGGATCGCGCCGCGTCGCCGATGCATCGGCGATGCATCAGCCATGCGGCTCGATGTGGGGCCTAATGTTCGCCTCGCCGATTCGTCGCCGATGCATCGCCGATTCATCGCCAGTGCATGGCCGATGGTGTATCGGCGATGCGGCGAGGTCCTCCGACCCATCTACTCGGACCCCATCCAGGAGGCCTCTAGTATCGCGACCTGAAGAGCCGCACTCGTCTGCGAGAGGATTTAGGCCTGTGCCGTTCCTTGGCCTTCTGCCCGGCTGCGGGGAGCGCTGGCGGCAGGAGTCGCTGGTGGTGGCCGACGGTCTCGTGCTCTTCTTCCTCCCCGCGACGGCCCACGTCGCGGCAGCCCACCGCCTCTCCTGCGTTGCCGAGGCAGCCCTGGCAGAGGACGGCGTGACGCTCCGGCTGTCCCCTCCAGCGTCCCCAGACGTCCGACGACGGGTTTTTGATGGGCCAGTTTCCCACCACCACCACTGCCACGGGTAGGACGGGGGAGGCGGGAGGACGGGGAGGTCTTCCTGCTCCTTCTCCTCCTCCTCCTTCTCCTCCTCCCCCTCCTCCTTCTCCTCCTCCTCCTCCTCCTCCTCCTCCTCCTCCTCCTCCTCCTCCCTCTCCTACCTGTGGTAGTGGTGGCGAGCAAACATTTGCCCATAAGCGTTGTTTAAATCCGTGGCCCCAGAGGTCCAGGGACCCCATACCTCCTCCTCCTCCTCATCCTCCTCCGCCTCCTCCTCCTCCTCCTCTGAGGGGCAGTTCTGCGTCCCGGGGCCCGACAGCGGGCTCCAGGGGCTAAGAATCACGGAGGAACGCCTGCAGACCCAGACCCCCTGACGTACTGATTTTTGTCACTGCATCGGCTCCCAGAGGTCCCGACCCTTTCCCCAGGACCGGCCTTGCATCCCGAGTCGTTTTGTTGACGCTCCCGAGGCCCGGTGAGGGCCCTCGGAGGCCAGGAATGAAGGAAGACCTTCCGTCATGCGTTTTTTCATTACCCGAGGGGGTCTGGGATCGAACAGACGGCCAGGAACTCTGGCTCAGCGCGTCTTGGTCGCGCTGCCAGTTCTGGCCCACCCCGTCCTGCCGCGGCACGCCATCCGCGTCCCAGGCTCCAGGCGCCGCGCCGCCCGCCAGAGCGGAGCGGAGCGACACGGCATCCGCTCGCAGGGCATGGCTTGTCGCCGGGGCCATCGCCGAAACACGCTGAGCAAAAGTTCCCGGCGCGACCCTGAGACCCGACACCACGAACAAAGCAGCCACGTCGTTCTGGGGGGGGGGGGGGGCCAAGATCCTTTCATGTCTAATTGTTCTATCCTGGGCCTCTTCCTGGCCACGAGGGGGCCAGGAACAATTAGAAACGAGCACAACGAGAAAGGAGCACGATTAGAAATGAACGACGCATAGCAGAACAAAAAAATAGATCAGCGCGATGGAGCAGAAAGATCCCGTCGGATGTCCGGGCCATGCTCCGCCGTTGGCCGCCCCGAGAGCGTGCTGGTGCGCGCCGCCAGCCCGGCGGAGGCGCGGCAGCTGCTGGGCGAGGTGCAGGCGGCGGCGCGGGAGCTGCCGGCCGGCGGCGCCGGCATGGGGCCCTACGTGCCAGCGGCCGGCCTGGAGCTCCTGGCGCTCGGGGGTCAAGCAGTGGCGAAGCGTCCTGGCTCGCCTATAGGCCTACCAAGCAATGTTGTAAGAACCTCTTGTGGTGTGCACGAAATGTTCTTAGAACATTTCTGGTTGAGACTGTTTTTTTACATATCGGGTTAATGGTCTAAGCGCATAAATGCGAGCAACACTTGTATCCCTGACTCACATGGCGCTCTCAAGCCCGTGCCTTTCTTTAGTAGCTTTGTCTAGCTTTCGGCCTCCGGGGCCTCTTCAGGACAGCTCTTGACTCAAGTGGCTAAGGCATAAAGTCCGCAAGTGTACATGTGACACGCTACTGATTGCACTGCTGTGCGATGGGCGAGTAGCTACACATGCAAATGACTATCAACAAGAAAACCCTGTACTGGATGCTTGTTGATTCCTATTGCTGGGTCGCTGCACATAGGAGGGCGGACAAATCGTGCCGCCCCTCCCAGGAACGTGTTTTTTGTTTTTCTAGTACCCGCTGCGTCTTGGAGTATCGAATTCCCTTCCCGAGAAGACCAGAGGCGCAGCTGATATGGATCAAGTTCTAACCCTTGTTATAGGGGTTAGAACTTGATGGGCTTGAACTCGATCCATTTATAGGGGTGGCTATGGATCAAGTGCGAACCCCTTATCATATGGGTTGTAGGAGATGGATAAAACTCGGGCCCCTAAAAAAGAGGCGAGACTTTTGTCCATATCCGCTGCGCCTCGGCAATTTGGCGCCCCCTCCTGGAAATTCCAGGACGCAGTGCATGTGGACATCAATCATGCCCGCAAAGGAAGCTTTGGGAGCTCCGCGCGGATGTCTTGGGATCTCCGCTGGAGCCCCCCCGCCGCGGCGCTCCGCGCGCCAGGGAGGCAGGCTCTCGGCGCAGCTCCGAGGGACTCGCGCGCACATGCAGAGGGTTGGTTCCTCCCCAGACCCCCTCGAGTAATGAACAAATCATGACGGAAGCACGTTTTCTGCATTTTCGGCCTCCGGGGGCCCTCCCCAGGCCTCGGGAGCGTCAAAAAACGACTCAGGATGCAGAGCCGGTCATGGGAAAAGGGTCGGGACCTCTGGAGGTCGACGTGATGAAAAAGATTGCGCCGGGGGTCTGGGTCTGCAGGCGCGGCGCGCGGAGGAGGGGAGGCTGCGGGAGGCCGAGGGGGCCAAGCGAGAGCTCTGCAAGCAGGGCCAGCTGCTCGCCGCCCGCCTCGTCGGCCAGTGGTGCAGGAGGCGCCTCGCGGCGCGCCTCCGCCCGTGGTTCGGCCGGGCGGCCCGCGCTGGGAGCGGCTGCGGCGCCAGCGGCCGGCAGCCCATCGGCAGCAGCGGCCGGCGCCAGCCAGCGCTTGCGCAACCCTCGCCGGTGGTGCCGCCCGCCGCCCTCGGACTCCTGCGGCTGGGCAGGGCCGTCGCCCGCGTGCGCAGGCGCCTCCTCGCCGCCGCCGTGTGGCGCCTGTCCCTCCCGGGCCCCGGCGGCGCCGGGAGGCCCGCGCTCCTGCAGGAGGTGCTCCTCGCGTGGCGGCGCGCCTCCGCCGTCGTGCGCCCGGCGCCCGCGCGCGGGGCGAGCGGAGCGGCCCCGCGCCGCGCCCGCTGCCTCGCGGGCCTCGCCCTGGGCACCTGGCGCCGCGCCGTGGTCTCGGGGCGCGCGCGCCGGCAGGAGTGGATGGCACGCAGGCTGCTGATCGGGTGCTGCTAGAGGTGCCCCCAGCACCAGGTGCCCCTGGCCGGAGAAGCACGAACGCCATGAACATAAACTGTTGGCGCTCCGCGGATCTCCTGGATCCGCGCTGGGGCCCCCCCTGGGCGGCGCCTCCAGCGCCGCCCCTGGCGCGCTCCGCGCGTCAAGGAGGGGGGTCCAGCGCAGATCCAAGAAATCCGCGCGGAGCGTCAAACGTTTCTGTTTATGTGCTTTCTTCTCAGGATATCCTGGGAGGCCCAGGTGGCTTCTGTTGTTCAGACACGATCGCGAGACTGGCCGACCGAACCGAGAGGCCACTCCACGCTCGTGCTACCCTCCTCCCGAGGCTTGTAGGGGGCCCCAGGGGGCCCCAACGCGGCCCCGAAGTGGCGCGACCGGCTGGGGGCCAGGACCACTTCCAGCAGCACCCGAGCTGCTGCAGAACGTGGAGCTCCTGGAGGACGAGCGGCAGGAGCCCCGGCGCCTGGCGGCGAGCGCGCTGAGGGCCGCGGTCCTGCGCACCCGCGCGCGCCTGCTGGCCCTCGGCCTGCGCGCCCTGGCGCGGCCCGGCCGCGTCCGGCTGGCGCCCTGCAGCAGCCCCTGCCAGCCGGGTGCGGCCAGAGGTGCCCCGGGCCCAGAGCCCTGCGGCCAGAGGTGCCCCGGGCCCAGAGGCCCCCCGCGGTCGGGGGCGGCAAAGAGCGGGGTGATGACTAGGGGGGGGGGGGCGATATCATGGCGTGGGCCATGATGTTTCCCCAGATTTCGCGGCGCCTCTTCTCTTCATTGCGTCCCTGGCGCCCCCCTGGGCGCGCACATGCCGCGGGCCATGATTTGCCCCCCCCCCCCCTCGTGGACGCCCCCCTCTTGGCCGCTTCCGACCGCGGTCTCTCGCGAGCGCCCCATCAGGAGGCCCAGAGGGCCTCAGGGGCTCCAGACGGGCACGAGGAGTTGGGGACGCCTGCAGGGCGTCCCCCGCGAGGTAAGCCTGGCCAAAGTCTATGATGCTCCAACTTCCTTCAGCACTGATCACCAGAACGAGTTTCGAGCACCAGGGAAATACCGACACTCGTTCGGCACTGTTTCGATACTTTTCGGGGTGCTCGAAGTTACTTCCGGGATACGGTCCGCAAGTACGGTGGGAGCAACAGAAGGCAGGAGGGAAAAAACACACACAGACACAATTCATCGTCGATTCCCCAGAAAATATGGGAACATATGGGAAGTGTGTGTGTGGGGGGGAGACAAAAACCAAGAACATATGGGAATATATGGGAACATCTTTTTATCAGTGTGTATTTATTTGTGTGTCCTTGGGCCCTCAAGAAGGCCAGGGCCACCTCCAGCAGCCCCCGAGTCGGCAGCCCGCGCGGACTGCGGCGCCCGCCGCCGACGCCGCTTCTGGCGAGGGCGCGCCCCCTGCGGCCGCGCTGCTGAGGCGGGATGCCTGGCTGCAGGGCGGGCAGCCGCTGCTGACGAGTCCAGACTGAGGGCCCAAACGAAGGCCTCCTCCTCCTCCTTCTCCTCCTATGCCTCTTCCCTCCTCCTCCTCCTCCTCCTCCTCCTCCTCCTCCTATTCCTCCTCCTATTCCTCCTCCCATTGCTCCTCCGGCCGCGCTGCTGAGGCAAGATGCCTGGCTGCAGGGCAGGCAGCCGCTGCTGACGAGTCCAGACTGAGGACCCAAACGAAGCTCGCAGGCCTAGAGGTAGACACCAACACCAATATCGGCAGTGTGCCTCCACCGAGGGAAGAAGATCCCGATCTCGGTGATGGTGGTAATCTTCTAGCTTCAAGGTGGTCGAAATATTACCACCAACACCGAAATCCAGGATCATCTTCCCCCTGTGGAGGCAGACCCCTGAATTGGTGTTGGTGCCCATTTACAGGCCTCCCAAAAGCAGCGATCGGCCCTCGACATACCACGCAGTTGGTTTACCCCAGATTGCTGGCTCGTCAGGGATTCGAAAGAAGCGATCCTGGGGTGCATCGATCCTGCAGTCGATCTCCTGACCGAGCCTTTCGCACCTTTCTGCGCGGAAGGTGCCGCCGCGATTCGGCCGCGGCGGCCGCCGCGGCCGCCGCTGCGGCCTCGAAGGTTGGCGCCGCTGTGGTCGCGGCGGCGGCCGCGGCAGCGCAGCAGCTGCCGCGCGAACCGGTGCGGAGGGTGCAGGTCGAGGGGGCCGGGAGGACCGCGAATCCGTACTCCTCAGTCCCGAATCACCGAATCCGCGATCATCCGCGAATAACGATAAAAGAACCCCTAACCCGAATCCGCGAATAAAAGAACCCCTATTCAGGACCGCGGATCCGCGATAAAAGAACCCCTAACAGGAATAACACGGTGAAGACGTAGCCTCACTGAGGTCCCCGTCTTCGCATTTGGGATAACAATTCTGGGCGGTTGGGCTCGATACAATTGCAGGAAAGACCGCCTATCCCTCATGTTCCTAACCCCCCCAAAGTCCCAAAGGGTTAGGGGTCCTTTTTGGGGTCAATCATCACGGCGGCGAGGGGTGGGTGTCGGAGCGCCCGAGCCCGCTTCTCGTGCCGAGCACGCGGCGATCTCAGGCTCCAGGCACTCGGGGAACCCTGAAGCGTCCAACGAGGAGATGTCGGCGGACGGGGGGCGAGGCCCAGTGGACAGCTTTTGCCTACGTCGGCTTCCACGGATGTCTCGATGCTGACCGACAGCTCTTTGCTTTTTGTACCCGAAGGACTCGGTCAGTTTGCAGAGGAGGGTCCGAAAGTGCCAGTGCCAGCCAGTCCGACCGGCACCCTTTGAGCACCGGCTGCCGGGCTCCCCGCTCGGGGGTCGACCCGCCATGGCACTGGAGAGGACGATCATGGAGGTGAGACGCAACGAGAGGGCAGGGATAGAGAAAGAGAGAGATCATGGAGATGAGACGCAACGATCATGGAGATGAGACGCAGAGGTCATGCCATTCCGCTTCAGGCATGGATCTTGGCTTCTGGGGGTGCAGCCGCCTGCCCTCCCATCACCCGCCGCCGAAGGGAAGAGAGGCCACCCCCCTCGATCCCTGGGAGGGCGAGGGGCCCTCTTCTGGCAGCGCCCCGACTGCTCTGGGCTACTATGGCGCCCCTCCCCCTTCACTTTTTTCTGCAGAGGCGCAGCAAGGGTTATGATGTTCCAACCTCTTTAGCTTTGGTCATCAGAAAGAATTTCGAGCACCACGAGAGTACCGAAACCGGAGGGTTTTCGCGTGTCGGGCCCTGGGAAGCGATACTCGTTCGACATTGTTCCGATACTTTTTGGGGGGCGCTCGAAATCATTTCTGGGATGTGGTCCTGAGATGGGAGCAACATGAACGAGGGGGCAGGGAGAGAAAGAGAGGGAGAGAGAGAGACATCGAGATCATGGCGCCTCGCCTCAGGCATGGCTCGTCGACGCTTGCCTGGCACGTCTCGCGGGCGCCGGACGCTCGGGCGGCACGCCGTCTTGGCGAGAGATCCTGTGGAGAGCCGCGGCCGGTCTCTTGAGGGCGGCGTGCCTCCGCGTCTCTCCCGACAATCGGCGGCGCTGGACACTGCACGCGGTGCAATGCAAGGACCCGCTCGCCATCCCCAGGCACCTCTGACTCTGCATCTCCGCACGGCTGTTTGGCGGGGTCAGGGTCCAGAAACACAAAGGAGTGCCACATTTTTGAAATCCGGTGGCACCCCTCACGCAGATCGGCGGGGTCAGGGTCCAAAAACACAAGGGGTTTGCCATATTTCTGAAATTCGGCAACACCCCTCACACAGATCGGTAGGGTCAGGGTCCAAAAACACATGGGATTTGCTACATTTTTGAAATTCGGTGACACCCCTCACACAGATCGGCAGGGTCAGGGTCCAAAAACACAGGGGATTTGCCACATTTCTGAAATTCGGCGACACCCCTCACGCAGATCGGCAGGGTCAGGGTTGGTTTTTCCTTGACCGTATATGTGCAATGTGCGATGAGGTACTCTGTGCCGCGGAAGCCACGGGACGATGCAAGTCACATGTCGGCATGGTGTGGAGCCCAAGGTAAACGCTGGGTTCGGATTCTGAGAAGTAATCTTGATGCCACCCCCGTTGATGGTCCAAGGTGGAACCAAACACCGCACTTGGTCTCCGTGCTCCTCCAGGCTCAGCCGGAGACCAAGCGGCATCACACGCTGCATAGAATCAGAGAGGAATTGCAAGCACAACAAGCGAGAGCACGAGATCATGTCATCAACATGCTCGAGTGCTGCGATCACCTGATCCACATCGAGACGTCCAACTGCAAGGCCGCATTCGTGTCGAAAAGTGCTGTCGAAGAAAAGCTTCCGAGACCGACCGCCCGTAATCACTGCAGTGAGAGGTTCTGACAGGGCGTCCTCAGTCGGGAGCCCCTTCCAGGACTTGAGCGGATGCTCGCCCAGCTGGTACACATCATGAGCGAGAGTGAACTCAATCATGGCTAAGACATCGCTGTGGGATACCACGTCAGCATCAGCAGCATGAAACTGCATATTGCCACTCACGTGCACTCGCCCCAGGCGTCTGCGGGGAACCGTCACTGCAGCCGTACCAGTTCGCACATGCACTCGCTCCGACAATTCCGACCTCTCCGAACGAGCCACCTCATCATTGGCGTTTGGGAAACAAAAAGTGTCGACGTCAAACTTGACCATGACAAGCGCATGCCTGGACGACGGCATCGCACGCAGTGGCATTCAGAACGACGGCAACGGCACCAGACGTGAACGTCCAGAGTGAGCTTCCGTCTGGAGGAGTCGCATAGACTTACATCGGGTCTGTTCCTCTACAGGGGGAATATTCAAACATAGTAAAAAAATAGTATGGGGACGATTTCTGGAGCATTGTTTGACAATTTTGGGGTACTTTGGGGGTATTTTTTCGCTCAAAATCCCCCTGTAGGGAGACACGCCCGACTTAAGCATAGACCAGAGGGTCCAACGCACCCTGGATGCCTTCGTCATTGCATCCCCAGAGAGCTCTCGCAGCGAGGCGGCTCGCCTTGGGCAAGCGGGCACGACGGTGGAGCCGCTAATCTGCCGCTCGTGCTGCCGAGGGCGAGTGCACATTGTGCATTTCCAATTATTCGGAAGGTCAATGCTTTTTTTTTGGGGGGGGGCAAGATCCTTTCATTTCTAATTGTTCTATCCTGGGCCTCTTCCTGGCCACTAGAGGGCCAGGAACGATCAGGAACGAGCACAATTAGAAATGAACACGATTGGAAATGAACGACGTGTACAGGCAAGAGAATCACCGCTATAGCATTTCGCTTTGGGATTCGGTTAGACTTTACCGCACCACTCTTTCTGCAATTCAACTCCACGTCGCAATGGCCAACGAGCTGGGACGTATAGGTCGTGACCCCCCCCGGCGCGGGCCAGAAAGCGGGGCCAACCACCAAACCCATGGAGCAGCAGCCGTTCGGAATCCATCACAAGCTGCTTATACATCTGGTGCTCGTAACCTGCGAAAGGCCAGACCATGCGACATTTCAGATTGTGGTCAACAACGCAAGCCACATCAGAGCATCGCACACACATCATGTTTGCAAGATAGGCGCAACGCCTGGCCCGCCCTAAAACTGGCCTTGGGGTGCGACAGGGAGAAGTTATTTATAAGGAGAAGGAATGGAGTAGGACCAATGAGGAGGAGGAGGAGGAGGAGGAGGAGGAAGAGGAGGAGGAGGAGGAGGAGGAGAAGACAACTTAGGAGGAGGAGAGAGGAGAAGGAGGAGGAGGAGGAGGAGGAGAAGGAAGAGGGAAAGGCAGGAGAACCAGAGTAACCCCCAGACGCACCAACGGTGTTGCAAGAAATCCTTATTCCAAGTGTTCCTCCAGTCTTTCCCGCAAGCATTGCTTATCATTTCAGGAAGTGGCCAATTCGAAGACATCCGTCTCAGAGTCTCTAACCTGTACACCATCCCTGTGACTATAACGAATTGGGTCAACTTTACCTTTGCGGTCGGATACTATTAAATCGTGCCAGGGGACCATGCCTTTGACTTTAACACCGCACCCTTGAAACGATGGCAAAGTTTCAGGACACATTTGCGCGGCGCTACTGCGAGAGCCACATTTCGAAAAGGACCCGCCCTCCATGTTTGAAACTGTTGCGAAGTTTGGAAACGAATGCTCGCGGCGCTGAGGCGAGAGGCACATTTGAAAACGACCTGCCCTCCATCTTTAAAGCTCTGCGAACTTTGCAGACCTTGTGCGCGGCGCTGACGCGAGAGCCACATTTTGAAAATGGCACGCCCTCCATGCAAGAAACTGGCGCACATGTTTATGACTTACGTGCGCGGCGCTAAGGCGAGGGCCACATGTTGAAAACGAGCCGCCCTCCATCCGTGAAGCTCGTGGGAATCCCAAGCTTCAGGATCACCAATGGTGAGGAAGGAAGTCTCATGCGAAACGCCCGGCCCGACCTACCGACACGTCTAGGAGCGGAGGAGAAGGGACGGACGGGCGACGACGGAAGACGACGGAAGAAGACGGACGGACGGGAGAGGGGAACACGACGGAAGACGAGGACGGACGACGACGACGGACGAGGGGGAAGAGGAGGAGGATGAGGAGGAGGACGAGGAGGCGGAGGAGAGGGAAGAAGTGGCGGAGGAGGAGGGCGCGCAAGGAGGATCAGGAGGCCGTGTTTTCTGCTCACATTCTTGAAGACGTCGGATGTCCGGCCCAGCTGGCTCCTCGCGGCCGCTCACGGCCGCCAGAGGGTGAGAGGGCACGGACGGCGCGCCGAGGCCACGCAGGTCTCCGCGCGAGTGGCGAATACGCTTCCGCACTCTGTTTTTGCTGGGGGGGGGGCAGCAGGCGTGGGGTCTCGGGGCCCTCCTCCGGCTCCTCCGCCGCCGTCGGTCGCCGGCGCCGTGGATCCGTCGTCGGCGGCGTCGTCGGCGTCGTCGCCGTCGTCGTCGGAGGCATCGTCGTCGGAGGCGTCGTCGTCGGAGGCGTCGGGTTCGTCGTCGTCCGCCCGCGGCCACGGCCGGAGGTCGCGTGGAGAGGCTGGCGGAGGAGGCGGGCACGACGCGGCGGCGGCTGGAGGACCTGGCAGTATCCGCGGCCTGGCGGGTCGAGTGGCGCGGGGGGGTCGTGGAGGAGGAGGGGGACCTGGAGGAGGAGGAGAAGGAAGAGGAGGAGGAGGAGGAGGAGGAGGGGGAGGAGGGGAGGGGGAGGAGGGGGAGGAGGGGGAGGGGGAGGAGCAGGAGGGGGAGGGGGAGGAGGAGGAGGAGGAGGAGAAGGAGGAGGAGGAGGAGGAGCATCCGCCAGTCGTGACCCGCTGGGCATACGCAGCGCTATCGCATACAAAACGGTCTGCACCCAGGCGTGACCCTTCACGGGTCGTGAGCCGCGACCATCACAACACTAGCAATAATTCGACAATGTTGAGCTGTATGAGTGGGACCCCAACACCACCGACCACGCTGACCACCTCAAAAAGGTCAGGGAGGCAGCCAAGCAAAAACATACAACATTCGCATTACTACGAGTACGTGCAACATGCTAGCGACCCGGTCGCGCCAAGCGAGACGAACCAGATGTCACAATGACAAGGATAACAAGCGCAAAATTGGTCTACCAATTCACCGAATCAGTCGCACAAGTAGTCCCAGCCACCTGGGCGATGGACGATCTGACTACCTTGTGCAACCACAAGGGCTACGAGTAGTGCATCACCAGGCCGAGCACGACGAGCGTCCTAGCGACAATTGGTTTAACACATCCGCGAGGACAAAGACCACACCTTGACCAACTACGCCGACAACATTTATGAGGTGATCGAGAACCAGGACGCCAAGATGGAATGGAAAGGAGTGAGGCAGCTACTACGATTGGGGGGACGGCCGCCACGGTTGATCACAGAGCACCGATACTTCGCCATCGCCGACTACCCTATCATATGCACGCCGGGAGAAATCGCCAACGCCAACAACAAGCGCGCCAAGGAAACTAAAGTCAGCTTCGCTCAGACTGAAACACCTGTCGTCAACATTATCACCAGTGCCGACTTACAGGCTGGCTTCCACGACGCCGGGCGGTGGGGCGGGATTATGGGCAGGGAGCGGGAGGGAGCATCTACCGCTGACTGACCTGGCGAAGGCCAGGGTGGCAATCGGTATCGCTCTAGCACCGCAGCTTTCACCATCCTCGCTTCGCGCGTGCAGCTTGCACTCGGCAGTCACATATGCTCGCGCGCGGGGAAGGGGGGGGGGGTCTTTTACGTGGGCGGAGGGCGGGGAGACGACAGCCGCGGCCGCCACCGCGGATGGCGCAAACCTCCGCCCCCCCCCCCCCCCCCATCAAAGCGCACCCCCTGGATGCTCTCCCCCCCAGTCGGAGTGCATCGCTGGCCTCTGCGCCGGCGGGGTCCACGGCAGGGGCCCTTCCCGCGGAGTGCCGTGCGGGACTTCGGAAGAGGCCCTTGCGCCGTCCACTTTGGCGAGGGCGCCTGCGCCGCGCTCGCACGGGCATATGCCGCGCAGCCCATCCCTTCCAGTGTTCGTTTCTCGGCCCTCTTTACTTCATCTCCTCCTGACTGTCGTACGCGACTGCAGCCCGTCCTTTTGAATGTTCATTTATCTCCCCGCTTTTTGTTTCACCTCCTTCTGACTGCCGCGCGCAACCATCCTACCACGTGCACCGCTGGCCGACCTGGCGTTGGCCGGGGCGGCCGCGGCCAGCAACTCCACCAGCACCCAGGCCTCCTCGCGTTCTTCTAATTGCGGGGGGAGTGGGGTTTTCACAGGGGTGGGCGGGGATTCTTATAGTAACCTTTGCGCGGCCGCCTCGGCGAGAATGTGCCGAGGCAAGCCTCCTAGCACCAGGGGGACATCACCATGCCGTCGAGCGTGGTCTCCCGCCACGTTTGCAAGTACAGCCTTCGCAATGCCGCTGCTGTCACCGCCATTCCACGCAGTTTCTTCTACCCTCCTCTTCCTCCCCTGCAGCAAGCCATCGCCTCAACTGTCGCATGCCGTTGCATACATATGGAAGGGGTTGGTTGTTCATAACTTTCACTCGGCGGCGAGCGAGGGGGTGGAGTGAGAAGGAGAAGGCCTTCTCGGAAGGTTCGGAAGTCCCCTGGCCTTCTGAGAGGTTTCCTGAGCCTTCCACGGAGACAAACAAACACTTCTCTCGGAAGGCGCGAGGGACTCTGAGAAGTCCCGCCGCCTTCTGAGACGGCCTTGTCCTTCTCGCCTCCCCCCCCTCGCTCGCCGCCCACTCGCGCGACCGCCGCCGCGAAGGCGCTGCCCTCCCCGGCGCGCGGCGGACCCCGCCGTCCCCCTGCAGCCACAGGCTCAGCGCTCGGGCACCCTGCGCCTGCCACGGCGGGCGCGGGTCCCCCGTCGCGAGACCGTGGGCCGGACGGGGGGCCTTCCCACAGGCCTCGTCGAAAAATAGACTGAAGCGCTGTTCAAAGTCGAGGCGCTCGATGGCTCGGGCACTCGTCAGGAAAAGCGCGTTCTTCAATGCTGGGAGGGTGCTGCCCGATTTCGGACCCCCTTGGCGCCTGGACCAGATGCTACGTGCCAGCATGGACACAGCGCCCACCACGCCAGCACGGGAAGCAAGACTCGTCCATCTATGCCATAGACGAGTCCTGTACGGGTAGGGGGAGGCCCTTGCGCCGTCCCGAATTCGGCGACGCACGGCCGAAGCAAGCCTCCTGCCACAGGGGGCCTCCGCCAGATGCCGGCGAGCGCGGCCCCCCCCGCCGCGCCTTGGCATGTCGCTGCGGTCGCTAATGTCATGTCGCTGCTCCTTCCCCCGCTTTCTCCCCCCCATCATCTCTCCTTCATCCGCTTTCCCTTCCTCCCTGCTCCCCCCCAAAGCACATGCTGCCACCCCTTCCTTTTTTCTGTGTCACGCAGCTGGCGACTCCAGGGGCGACCGCCCTTGCAGTCGCCTGGCTCACTCGTTTGGTCAGCTCTCTCCAGGGGCAAACGCCCCTCAAGGGGGGGGTGATGGCCATGCTTGACTGCATTGAAGCCACCACTCGCGAGTCAAGAGTCACGAGGAGGAGCAAGAGGAGGAGGAGGGTGGGTGGGGGACCTGGCCGTCCGCGGCCTGGTTGGGTCGACTGGTGTCTAGGAGCAACTGAGCGGGAGGAGGAGCGGAAGAATGAGAAGGAGAAACCATTTTGCCATCACGCATGTGTTTTCCTTTTTCCCCTCACGTGCGTTCAAACGCAACGCTCCTCCTCGCCAATGACGGTCGAACGTAGAGACGAGGAGGGGGAGGAGGTCTGGCAACATCCATGTGGATTCCGCTGCCGAAAGCAGGAGCAGGAGGAGGAGGAGCAGGAGGAGGAGCAGGAGCAGGAGCAGGAGCAGAAGCAGGACCTTGCCGTCCGCGGCCCGGCGGGTTGAGTTGCGAAGGGGGGTCGTGGAGCGAGAACAGAAGGAGGAGGAGGAGGAGGAGGAGGAGAAGGAGGAGGAGGAGGAGGAGGAGGAGGAGGAGGAGGGTGAGGAGGAGGACAAGGAAGAGGAGGAGGACAAGGAGGAGAAAGTTGAGGAGGAGAAGGAGGCGGAGTAGAAGGAGGCGTCATGTTGTGATCATGCATTCGCTATCCTTTTTCTTCCAGCGCGTGCGTTCAGACGCAACGGTCACCCAGCCGTCGTCGTTTTGACGTGAAGAGGAGGAGCATTCGCGCGCAAGCTGCCCGCGTGGGATCGCGCGTGCACGCCCTCGTTTCCGATGTAGCGTGCCGCGTTGGTGGTCCGCGTAAGCCACCACGTAAAGTCACTATCCCATCTCGTGTAAGACCCGCTCTTCTTGTCGCTCGAATAAGAAGTCGATGCGAACAGGTGCCCCATGGAACTCTGATACCCCGATGGTCCCAGGGATACACAGAAGCTCTGATGAGCCTTGGGACCCTCGATTCATAATGTGTCCCAAGCTTTCTATGGCAAGATACCTAACCGCATGTATTTTCTGTAGGAAGAAGAGGTACCAATACTGCTACCTACTCTTCCCTCGTTTTTGCCTTTGTGGGCCGCTTGGGAGGCCCTCGTCGCCACGGCTGGGTTCGCTTCGAAATTCTGGTCAGAGCGTACCTCGGGCTCCAGGAGAGGGCCGAAGTGGCAGCTGTACTTGTCTGTCCCCCCACGGGAGGAGGGGGAGGAGATTCTCCTCCTCCTCCTTCTCCTCCTCCTCGCAGGGTAGCCAGCGTGGACGTGCCCCTGGTCAGGTTAGATGCTGGCCTGCCTCCTGCATGCGTAGCTCGAGCCCTCCATCTCCCCCTTTCTCGGTCTCTTTATGTTCCTCTCACCCTCCCTGTCGCTCTCGGCATCCCTCCCCCTCTCGCTCCTTCTACCTCATCTCCGTCCCCCTCATCTACCTCATCTCGCTGTCCTCTCCCCGTCCTTTGTATGGCCGCCTCCCAGCTCCAGGCTCCTCTTCCCCGCCCATCTCACGAGGACGGCCTGGCAAAGATCAGCGGCGACGTGGAGAGGAGTCTCGAGCTCACCGCTTGGAACTGCTTCCAGGGGGAGCTGAAGCTCTGGCAGCGCATGAAACAGATGACCGGCCAGGCTGCGCGGGAAGCTGTGGAGGACGTGGAGGATGAGGACCAGTGCCAACCCAAGTCACCAAGTCGCAGCAACTATGTTGCAATACATCCTCCCTCCAAATTCCCTCTTCACAGGTCCCTACAAGAATTTACTTTCAGTGCGGGAAGTGCCCCATTGGAAGACAAGTGTAAAACAATCCCCAATCGTGCCAAACGCCCTTCCTGTGATTTCAACACCGCGAATCAACGTTACTGTTGCGTCCTGACAAACCGAGGTCGTGCCATAGCGCCCTTTCTGGGACTTCAAATCCGCGAATCAACGTGACCGTTGCGTCCTGACAATCCTAACCCGTGCCAGAACACCTCCCCTGGGACGTCAACCACAGGAGCCTTTGATACTGCTTCCAACTTTTAGCAACGAATGCGCGCGGCGCTTCGGCGAGAGCCACATTCCGAAAAGGAGCACCTGTCCATGTTTAAGACTGCTGCAAGATTTTAGAGCAACTGTGCGCGGCGCTAAGGCGACAGCCACAGTTTGAAAACTATCCGGCCTCCATCCTTGAATTCCGTGCACAGTGGTAGGACGCATGTTTGCGGCGCTAAGGCGAGAGAAACATCTTGAAAAAAGGCCCGTCCTCCATTCTTGAAGCAGTTGCACTCTTCTTCGACAATTGTGCGCGGTGCTGAGGCGACAGACGCATTCTGAGAACGACTCGCCCTCCATCTTTGAAGCTGTTGCGAACTTTTACACCGAATGTGCGACGCGCCAAGGCGACAGCGACATGAAACAAAACGCCCTCCATCTGTGAAGCTGCTGCAAACTTTTGAGACGAATTTGCTCGGCGCGAAGGGAGAGCCACATTTTGAAATCGGCACGCCCTCAATTGGTGAAAATGTTGCGAGTTTCAAGCTTCAGGGTCATAGGTAGTGAGGAAGACTCAGGCGAAACGCCTGGCCGGCCCTACCGACACGTTTGGGGGTGCGACAGGGAGCTGTTTTTTCCAAGAATGAGGATGGAGGAGAAGGAGGAGGAGGAGGAGGAGGGAGGAGGAGGAGGAGAAGTCAAGCAGTGGCGAAGCGTCCCAGCTCGCCTACAGCCCAACCAAACAATGTTCTAAGAACCTTTTGCGGTTCCCACGAAATGTTCTTAAAACATGTCTGATTGATATTGTCTTGTTTTAACACATCGGGTTTATGTTCTAAGAACATTGTTTTTGTTCTTAGAGCATTTTCGGGTTCTAAGAGCAATTCGTGGTAGGACTATAGGAATGCCGGGACGGTCGGTCCCTGCTCAAAGAAGGAGGAGGAACCTGCGGCACTGCATGAAGCCCAGCCAGCGTCCAGGCGGCGCGTCAGGGTGGAAGGGGCGAACCACCGCTGGGAGGCTGGACCTCTGCGCGGGCACGCGCAGCCCCAAGCGTTGAATGGAGCGGCAGTGGCGCGCCACAGGTCGACGGCCAGGCTGCGCATCAGGGGGCAACCTCCCCCCCTCCTCCTCCTCCTCCTCCTTCCTCCTCCTCCTCCTCCTCCTCCTCCTCCTCCTCCTCTTCCTCCTCCCTCCTCCTCCTCCTCCTCCTCCTCCTGCTCCTCCTCCTCCTCCTCCTCCTCCTCCTCCTCCACCGCTGGGAGGTAGGACTTCTTCGTAGGCGCGAGCCGCTGGGAGACAGGGCTTCTACGCGGGCCCGTTGGGAGACCCCGTGGGGTCCTCCCCTTGGGGGCCGCCGGCTCCTTCCAAAGACCAGGCTCCTCGCCCGAGCGGCAGGCCTCCGGGGCGCTCGGCTTTCATGAGGGCGCCTGCCTCGTCGATGCGTCCTGGATTTGCGCGAGTCCTCCTCGTTCTCCAGTGAGACTGGTCCTGATCCTCATACTCGCCTTCTCTTACGCTCGCCTCCTCGTCATCCTCCTTCTCCTCCTCTCTTACCCTCGCCTCCTCCTCCTCCTCCTCCTCCTCCTCCTCCTCCTCCTCCTCCTCTTCCTCCTCCTCCCCTGTGTGGGCCATCCGGCGGAAAAGCTGCGTTGGGACCCAGAGCCTCAGCCGGCAGGGTGCCCAGCCAGAGATCCAGCGGATGAGATGGCCAGAGCCCAGGCCAGCTGAGGGTCATGGTCCAACCCATCCCCGTAGAGAGGCGGGAAGGTTCACTGATCTGATGTAAGAGCTGGAGGGGGAGGAGCTGGGCAAGGGTTGGCTCAGATTCACGGTTGGATGTAGGAGCGGGTCCGCAATTCGTTTCGAATGTGTCCCAGCGCAGCCTGCCCGCAATTGGGATCCGAGACGCCGCCGAGCAAAAAAAAGGAGCGGGTCCCCGCTGGTACAAGAACCGGGGCAGAGCTGGATGAGCGGGGGGCTCCCGAATCATGGCCCAAGGTCTTGGAGAGGGGAAGGATCAAGGCTCCTCTCCAAGCCTGCACTGGCTCGGAGGCCTTGTCGCTTCCCGTTCCCTCGGATCCACTCTCGTTGGTCCGCTGACTGGATGTCCTCACCCTCCCTCCTCACCCCAGGATCCACTCGGCGATTCACCCCCAGGCTGGGCTCCTGGGGGGTGGCCACCCAAGGAGGTGGGAGCGGATCTGCTGGGGCGTGGGGCCAGATCGCTGCAACGGGCACGGCGCCCCAGAGCGGGACGTGCGACCCTTGAGGTGGGCCCGCATGGCCCACGGTGGGGAGGTTTGGATTGGCGTCTCGGTCCGTCGGTTCTGGCCCACCGCGCCTGGGTGCGACACGCTGTCCACTTCCCCACTTCCATGATGGGCCTGTTTTCCACCACCACCACCATAAGATAGAAGGGGGGAGGAGGTGGAGGAGGAGGATGAGGAAGAAGAAGAGGGGGAGGAGGACCCCCTCCCCCCTCCAACTTATGGTAGTGGTGGTGGAAGACAGGCCCATCATTCCAAGCGACACGGTCCCGAGGTTTGCCGAGCCTCCCACCCCGCGGAGCGGAGAGACTCGCTGTCGGTACGCAGCACGTCGCCGGAGCCGCGGTGGCGACACGTCAAAACCAAAAGCTCCCGACCGTAATGGCTCCCCCCGCCTCGCCCTCGAGGATGAATGGGTTGCATAAGCATCGGCTTCCAAAAGACCGCGCGGACCCTCGACAGCTCAATTTTTTGGCACTGTTCTCTTTTCTTCCGCCTATGTCTCCTTTCTCTCCTCCTCCTTATCCTCCTCATCCGCTTCCGCAGACTTCCGGAACCTTCGAGCGCCTCTACCGTCGTCTTCGTCGTCGTCGCTTTCGCCGCCGCCGCCGCCGTCGTCGTCGCCGCCGTCGTGACCGCCGTGGACGCCGTCATCGTTGTCGTCGATATCGTTATCGTCGTCATCGTCTCCGTCGTGGTCGTGGTCGTCGTCGTGGTCGTCGTGGTCGTCGTGGTCGTCGTCGTCGTCGTCGTCGTCGTCGCCGTCGTCGTCGTCGTCGTCGTCGTCGTCGTCGTCGTCGTCGTCGTCGTCATCTCCGAGGCCGCCGTCGTCGAGGCCGCCGTGGTCGTCGTCGTCGTCGTCGTCGTCGTCGTCGTCGTCGTCGTCTTTGTCGTCGTCCCTGTCGACGTGGCCGTTGTCGACCGTCGCTCCTGCAGCTAGCGCGGGCGGCGCCGCACGAGAGGCGCTGCCGCTGGATGCGCCGTCGCCACGCCGGTCGCTGGTGACCGTCTCCGTCGACCAGCTGGGCGCGCTGAGGGCGGGCGTGGCGCGCGACGCGGGGCGGCTCGGGGCGTGACAGCGCCCCTCGGGGGCAGCGTGGGGAAGGCTTCGGGCTGCGCGCAGACAGCCCCCAGGGAAATCCTCAGGACTCCCCGGCTGGCCTCGGCCCCTCCCCCCCCCCTCCCCTTCCTCCTCCTCCTCCTCCTTCTCGTCCTCCTCCTCCTCCTCTTC